TTTAACTACTAACGTGAATACCAAAGTGATGAAACGCTAAAGAGGTTGAGCTCTGAGCTCCAAAATCCCTTTTGCTATCAACTCCCCGGGTTCACTCCTGAGATGTAAATGCTCTCTCCCTAACACCTTATCAGCTCTGAGCTCTTTCGTCTCCTCTTCTCACATTTTCACCCTCTTTACGTCCCTAACTCACTGCCCCCCTCTGATTCCATGACTTGGGGCAGTGTGGAGTTTCTGGGAGTGGCTGCTGCTGGCTGAAGGGTGGAATAGCAGAGAGGAGTGGGACTGATGTGAGAAAGGGGTGGTGGGTGTGGTGGTGGGGGGGGGAGAGGGATTTAAATAAAGTGAAAGATGGTTTTGTTATTCTGTCCAGACTCCTGGAGCCTTTCTAGTCCAGGCCAAACAACAACAACATTCTGAGCGTCTTTCTGTTCTCTCTTCAGTATCAGGTCTGAGGAGGTCAGTGCTCCAGGACAAGGATGGTAAACCAAATAAAGACAACAGCCACTAATGGACGTCAGTTTGGGCTCGGCATTTAACTCAGCCGTGTTTCATTCTGAAAAATCTTAATTGATCGCTCAATAAAACCACTGCAAATTTTGGTTAATCTTAATTGATCACTCAATAAAACCACTGCAAATTTTGGTTGAATCACTCACAAGGAGTCATCTTTGCAAAAAGTCAAAGTTGATGAGACATAACATACGTATATTTTCCCCAGATTTCGTGTTAACATACCACCTGAACATTGTGACATTTTATTTATTTATTTTAACGTTCCCTGTTCTTGGTTCCACAGACATCGGGAGGCTACAACTGCTGTGACTCCTGTACGCCTTGGTTCCACAGACATCGGCAGGCTACAACTGCTGTGACTCCTGTACGACTGATACAAATCAAAGTACTTTGACTTTTTCTTTTTTTTTCTTCGTCTGTGGTTTCATTCTGCCTGAGAACAGCCTGCAGTGGTTGATAGTTCCATCAAGCCCTCACAAACGTTCTCCACTTCACACTTTAGCTACAAATGGCAGTAGCTGTCAGGGTCTGCAAAAAAGTTTTAGGACAGATGTTGATGATTTCAATTACTTGAACATGCTAAGACAAGTATGTCCAAACCTGGTGGAAAAGACATCCCCCAGAATTCAACTCAACAAGACATTCTGATGTAAATCAAGACAGGTTTGGACAGTTTTGTTATTTTCTATAAATGGACAGTGTTTCCAATTTGTCTTAGAACCTTTCGACCGTTTTTATTGAATAAACAATCACATGTGCTTCAAGTTTTCTTTGCATTACTCAAAATAGGTCGTGCATATGACACTTAAAAAACACACCTCCTTCATTTCTCAATTTCCCAGAATCCAGTTGTGTTCACAAAAACAGAAGTCAACCTTAAATCCCCATTGACAGTTCTGTATAAATATGTTTTGGGCCTTTGGTTATTGATCATACTGTCAAATGAATGGTTAAGCTAACAAACTGAGAATCGCAGCAGACAGCAGGGACCGTGCGTAAGTTTCGTTTTTTAAGAAAGCTATTTATTGGTGAAAGAAGCAGCAGCGTTGCTAACAGACAAACGCCAAGGGATTTACAGTAACAGGTGCACGTTCCTGTTTCCCACTCTGATCTGTGCAGCAACCTGCCCTGGGCTCCTTATATCTCTGTCAACCCTCAGCGCACATTCCTCCACGACAAGGCAGGCATTAGAGAAGTTGGAATGATTACAGTGCGAGAAAGAGATTGAGCGATACACAGTGTGTCGGTGCGTTTGTCAGTGGGAATAAACCTCTCTCCACCTCCCACCACTCGCTCACAAACATGGGGCTCGAGAGAGCGAGAGATCAGGACGAGATTCACTTGTGAGAGAAACGTGGAACAGGAAACGCAGGTGAAAGGACGAGCGAGTGGGCGACAGGAAAGAGAAAAAGAGAGATATAAAGAAGGAGGGGAGAGGTGACGAAGGAACTGCCTCTCAGCAGCACTGATGCACGGAGCCGCCACTGACGTCTGTTTGAATGGCACCATGCATGGCTGCAGGTACACACCAACGCGCACACAAACTCCAAAGCAGCAGGACGCTGGGATCCTGCTCTCCCATTTCATACGTCGGTTTCAAGGCATGAGAGGCCGTCGCTGGAGCATACTGTGGCGTCCATCCATCTTAGCCTGTCACCTCAGACCCCAGGCCCCGCTGAGGCCGCTGGAACAATTCAGACACTTGACGACTCTTGTCTTCAACTTTATATTCCTGTTGTTTTGAAATAGCTCTGTGACCCATGTTTGAAATAAGATATCTGAATTCAAAAAGTCAGAGTGGGGGCATGATATTACACTATATTATCTGATATTTGTTGCCAGAATTTAATATAACATAGGATTTTAGGTTTTGTGAGGGAAAGTCAAAAAAAGGAAATGACTAACGAAATAAAGTTCCAAATTTCTGTAGAATGTTAACACCAGGTAACAACCTTCTTCATCTACTGTTTTAAATCCTTTTTTTTTTCAGATTTAGGAAAAGAGGAAATAAAATGTCAGATAAAGTCAGATAAAACGCCTGTTGGAGAATTCTGTCTCCGACTTCTTGCTTGGTCACAGAAAAGCTGTGTAATGTGATTTAAAAAACAACAGTAAAATTAAACCCGATAAAAGATAGAATTATAAAATTTTATATCAATATTAATACCAAAAAACTATTTTATAACATTTAATCTAATGTATTTAATTAATCTCAGACATATTGAACTTTATTTTTCATATATATCTCATATAAGTGTAAAAAATAATACACTTTTTTTTTTCAATTTCTTAAAACTGACGAGGTCTGTGTAAAGTCAACGTCCTTTGTTTTTTGGCATTATACATTACTGAAAACTGTTAAAAATGACCTGAGGTCAAAAATACCTCAGCTGAAAGCAAGTAGATTAAAGATCAGTATCTAAAAAATAACTAAAGCATGGTTAGAAGTTAGTCTAAAAGAAGAAGTTTTAAGTTAGAAGAACAGTTAGCCCAAAGGTTACGGTTAACTCTGACATAAAGCTCGATGTATCGTCACAAATTAGCCATCGAAAATGAACTAATAAAAGTTTTAATTTGAACTGTATAAAAACGGCACCAGACCTGACGTCCTGGTTATTTATTATTGCACTTTTGTCTTTTTGGAAAAATACACTGCAGATTCTACAGCTGTCACATTTGTCACGTCTTCCCCCATTTCTCGTCACTCTATTATTGCACGGCAGATCCTTAGTGCTGTCAGTCAGGGATTTTTATTTCACTCCGACTGCTGTCACTCTCCAGAGCATGAATAGTTATTTAAGAACACAAATATTTTTTTCTTATGCAACATATGCGCAGGTGCATTAGGCACGGCCTCGTTTTCTCAGGTTAAAGGGGGAGTGGGTGAGAGTGGATAAAAGGGGGTGAAGAGGGAGAGAGAGAGGGAGAGAGAGAGTTGACGAGACTGAAGGGACGTTTCGGGGGAAACTTCCTCTGACGAGACCGAAGGGACGTTTCGGGGGAAACTTCCTCTACGTTGTTCCTACTAAAGGCGTTGAACTCAAATAAAGTACATATGAGGAAAAGGTTTGAATGAATGTACTTAAAGGTGATTGTGTGGAAGAACTGTAAGGCCGTATATATGAGTGCAGAGGTGTGTCACTTTGAGAAAATCTGCCTTCTCTGTTGACTCCGTGCCAATTCATCCTCAGGGCTTTCCGTGCGTGTGCGTGTGCACGTGTGTGTGTGCGTGCATGGCAGACTGCACAGCACGCACCCTTGTGTGTTACTGTGCCATATTCCCTCGGGGAGCCATCATCACACACAAACACAAAAGGACAGATAAACAGATACATAAAATTATGAGCACACCTTATCCTGTGTGTGTACACACACACGTGTGTGTGGGGGTGGGGTGGGGGGGTGGAAGATAATGTCCCTGAATGACACAAGAACCTTATGGTACTAGTACATGGCTCGGAGTTTGGTAAATTCCTGGTAGCATGAACTTGTTTTTTTTTGTTACAGGGCGTCTGTCAACAGTAGAGATATTTGTGGCGTGACTTTTTTTTTGCTCAATTTCTGCGTGGAGTTCTTTCCACTGATCCTTGTGAAGTCGACAGCAGTATATCCCATCTCTAACAGTTAGTGGTTAGGTTGATCTTTTGAGGGCTAACAAGTTCGTTAGCTTCTCTTCTATATTTATGATGTAAAACTGTTTATTTACCAAGGCATCGTAAACGCACCACCTACTGTACACCTGGTATTCTTAAGCCACTTTTCATGTATATTTCTATCCATATTTACACATATTTTTATATATCAATAAATAGATTCATAATTAATTAACCAATCTATGAATAAGTCAATGTACATAAGGGACAACTGAATGTCAGATATTATATAACCAATCTATGAATAAGTCAGTGTACATAAGGGACAACTGAATGTCAGAGAGGTAAAAGTCTAAAAATTGCAACAACAAAAAAAACTAAAACAGTCAAAATTGACCAAACAGTTCTCGGTTAGAAAATAATACAAATTTAGCTCGAATACCAAAAAGAAAAGGATCTTAAAGATAACCAACATCAGCTAAGATGTACTACACAAAACTAGCTAAAAGTGAGTAAAAAGACATTTAAAAGTTTTTCCAACATAAAATAAATACTTTAAATGGTTGCTCATAAAACATGTTATTATTTATTTATTTGCCAACATTACAATATATTATATTTTATGGAGAATGAATCATGTAAAAGGTTTTTTATAATGTGCTGTAAATACATTTTTTTGAAACTTTCATAAAGGTATTCCTAAAATGTGTACATTGGGAATAAAATTAAAAGTTAAAAATATAAAACCATCTTTTTATATTATGTACTGTGAGCAAAGACTAATAAAACAACTGAGCATGTGTCGGTTTTTTGTTGTTTTATTTATATATATATATATATATTTTTTTGTTTTTTTATATATAGATTTTTAAGTAAGTGAAAGTGAAACCTTGAGATTCTAAATGTAAATGGTTGTATAAGAGTTTCACTTTGAATTCCAACGCTCTGACATGTTTTAATTTTCTAACTCTCGTCTTTTAAAGTCAGCAATTCCTAAACCACAACAGCAAAAACATCCAATATCTGTGAGTCCCAGAAAATAAAGAGACCAAAACCTGTGCACGAGGGTGAAAAATGATACTGACAAACTATTAACATGTTAAAGCTGAGTTCCAGCTCTTCTCATGTCTTCTCTCACTCTTGATAAGCCGACACTTCACACCTCTGTGATCCCCCCCTCTTACTCTTTTCTCTCCACCTGCTAATGAGATTCTAGCCTGGGATTGTCTTGCTAAGTGCACATATGCACATTTAAAGGCAGTTTCTCTCCAGCCCTGAAAGAGTTAATATTCCTACACCTGTCCTATCAGACACCTGTTTCTCTGCTCTCAGCCAATCAGAGCAGAGAGGGAAACTGTGCTGGCATGAAATAAATCTGGGCCCCGTTCAGGAAGAATCTCAACACTTGACTCATCTCTCTCTGTGTGTGTGTGTGTACATATGTGTCTCTGTGTGTGTGTGTGTCTTCTCGGCTGTAGACTGACAGAGTCACCGACACAGATAACACTCAGACACACAGGAGATTAGCTGAAATTAAAGGATCTCTAGCCCGGCTGACTTGGACTGGAGACATGACCAAAGAGACTGAGTAAGTTCTGTCAGGATGTACTTAGATATATATTTATATATCGATATTTTTACGATTGTATTTATTGAATTCATTCACTATTTTCATGACTTTTAAAAAGTATTCTTGTGACCTGTCCTAACACGATTCTAATTCCCAGTCTGAGCCTCTGTGTGTGTGTGTAAGAGGGGGGCGGGGGGGGGGGGGCAGGCTTTCCCTCCTCTTGTTGCAATGAGACCCCCATGTGAAAGATGCCTGTTTTTTTTAAAGGGGATGTTTGGCAGGGGGAAATTGATATGTATAGGATTTACACACTCACACACATTGCGGAGTTGTAGTGGTTCTGTTGTCACTCACCTCAGGGGCCACGCAGCACAAAGGCAGAGCGGGGAAAATAAGAATCTGCTCTCGAGGTGTTGGACGGAGACACAGGGCAATAGAAGCATGTATTGCATTGAATTACATAATGGGGAAACCCTAGACACAAGCCCCCCAACCTTGTGTCTGCACAAAAAACATGTGCCCTTTTACTGGTTTTAGGGGGGAAATGGAGAGTGACTAATGGAGTTTCGTTGCAGACGGAGTTTTTTTTTTGTCTCTTTTGAGGCAGCATGCTGTGAGAAGTGTGAGAAGAGACAGGTGCATCTCAGAGCAGGTGTATACGTTCTCCTGGAGTTATTTTATCATAACAGAAAAAAAACAAAACAAAGAGGGACAAATGCCTCATATCGCTCCAGTGGAAATGTTTGTAATCTCTTTGTTAATCTCTTTGGGAATTCTTCGGATTTCTTTGAACACCTGTGGTTTTTTTTCCCCCTACTGTCAGCGAGATCTAATGAACTGTTTGTCCTGGTCAAACGGCCTATTTGTTGGTTAGCTACTTCAGACCAACTTAAAAAGGAATTTTCCAGCATTTGAGACTTCGTAAACAAATACAGTTCCTCAGATCCTCGGCTGTTATTTATTTGACATTTGAAACCTCTGGACCACCACAGTGGCACAGTGACATCTGTGTGGTAGTAACAAACAAACAACAACAAAAAAAAAGTCTGCTAACTTTTCACAACACTGAAACTAGAAAAACACCAAACACATTCATTAATCTGATTCTCCACTGTATCTGCCAAAATGTTTCGCCCTCACTTCTCTGGAAGGATGTCACTGTTAGCTTTGTGATTTTGCAATCGAAACCCTCCGTGCTCAGGGGCAAGTATGTACAATGCTCTGAGGCTCAGCTGCTGCTGCAGCTTGCTGTCGCTCTGTCATCGTCTGTGATGCGCACAACAACAAAAACAAAAACCTGAGCTCACGTCATTTTACCGATTTACTTATCATTTCTCTGTGATTTTCTCCTGTGTGTAGGACACTGGGCCTGGTTTTTCAGAGTGAGAACTTCAACTATAATCATTATTCAAACTACAACATGGACTCCTGGTCCTACCTGGAGACACCTGTCCCTCCGGCGAACCACTCCAAACCCAGACTCCACCCTGGGGACGACCTGGCAGCGTTAACCATGCTATATGAACAGTGCAGGGTAAAAACACAAATGACTAATAAACCCATTCAGAATCCGGTGTCTCGTAGAACTGGCATAATTGTTTGTTTTTTTTGTTTTTATTTTTGTAGAACCAAAAGGAGCAAAAAATGTCTCCCTGCGGTCGAATCAACGGTAACAAGATCACAGACAGGTGAGTTCATCCAGTTTGATCATTCTTTACTTTCATCTCCGAGGTTTAATCAGAGCAGCCGCGTTAATAAAACATTTTAAAAATATTTTTCTTTGACCTAGAGATTCATTGTATTAGATTGTGTCAATTGTACAAAAAGAGAAAGGCAGGACAGTGAGTGTGTGTGTGTGTGTGTGTGGGGGGGGGGGTTATTAGCAGGTGAGTGGCTAATCCTAAAGTCAAACACACTCACAGGGATTAATGTCCACCATTCATTCTATCATTATCTCAGGAAGCCTTTCTCAACATGACAAACACACACAACTGCTGCTCCTTATTCCTACAAATACTACTTCTAGTACTACTGCTTCCTGCGCCAGTGAGAAACGGCCGGTGCCGAGGTGTCCGTTCAGCACAGAGAAACTCAAACATTTGAGTAGAAAGAAAAAGGACGGATTAAGAGACAAATAGATCCCACCCAGGCTCAGACTCAGGCCTGACTGTGGGCTGAGAGCTGAAGGCCTTTTACTGACTCTCGGTTGTTTGCATTAGCAGCTGTCTGCGGGCTCGGTGTTAGTTCAAACATACCTGAGCTGTTAGTTGTTTTTTAAAGGACGACTTATTAAATCATTATGTCCTCACGGAAGTACTTTAGTTGATTTCATTGATCAACTCTCTGTCCTTTCCACCACCATCAGAAATTCAAGCAACGATATGGTTCCCCTCGAAACATCCGCCAATGTCATGAAGATCCTCGCAGAGAACATCCCCACCGGCCATCACCAGGATATGTTGGGATCAAAGCAGAACATCTCAGTGGCCAGTTCCGTTCCCACCACCTCAGACACCTACACCACGCTGACCAGCGTAGTGGCCGACACGTACGACAAACAAGAGCTCAACATTATCTTTGACTCTCTGATGCAGAAGTGGCCAGAGACCGGCGCTTTTCCTGATGCTAGCACCGAGGTGAGTCATCGTTTCGTAACCGCACTGTTCGTTGACGTGTTGGACTTCTGTATTTAACAACATGTATCTGTGTGTGGATACCAGAATCTTCCTTACGACCCCTTCCCCGAAGACCCCTCCAGTCCGGTCTACTCTGGATCGCCCTCTGAGAGATTCAGGAGCGAGTTCCAGTTTTCCCTGGGTGCTCCTTCAGCTGCTCATTACAAGTCCAGTGAGCTGCCCATGGTCTACCTGAACAAGGGGCAGTTCTACCCCATCACTCTCCAGGGGGTGGACAGCAGCGCCTGCCTTACGACCACCAAAGTCAAGGTGAGTCATGCCTGACGCACCGAAGGAAACTTCAAAACGTTCAAAGTTGTTTTCCACTGTTCTGTTTCAGTTTGTCTTTTTCATGTTTTATTACACAAGCGACATTTTTCCTTCGGGCTTCTTACGCAGGATCATTAAATACACAAATACTTAGCATGCCACTCAAACTAACCTTCCCATTTATCTGGCCCTCCCTTGCAGCCAGCTCCTCTGTGACTAATTCCCTGCGGTGTCTTTGTGCACTGGGGTATTTTCATTAAAATTAAACTCGTCCTGCCCTGTGTAATTTATTTCTCCAGTGGTGTAATGATGCCAGAGTGCATCTCAGCTCAGCTTAGCTTGTGGAACAAAGAAAGAGTGGCCAAGGAAGGGGGGAAGGTGTGGTTAAAAAAGCACAGGCGACAACTGTTTTCTTTGTTTGGTGAATCAGAGGATAAGAACACACGCTAATGCACTCCAGCTCACAGTAAATAGCTGATGACAATGCAAAGAGAAAAGAAGGATTTCGAGTGATGAATGCAAAATAATCACTACTCACAGCTTACAGTGTCACGTTTTAGTGGGGGGAAAAAACAAAATTCTTACTCTGGCTTTTCTGTCGTAGACTGTTGTGATGGCTGTGTTCGAAAATGACAAGAACCCAGAAATGCAGCTCCGCTTCTGGAATCACTGGCATGCAAGGCAACCAACCGCCAAGCAGAGGGTCATTGACATCGGTATGTTCCAGCGAAACATATCTGTAAAGACTGGAGAACGCAGTTGAATTAAAATGATATATAACCACAGTGTTCCCCTTCACAATCATTTTCTCTTTCTTTTACAGCGGATTACAAAGAGGTGTTTAGCGGCATTAGCGACATAGAAGAAGTGGCTTTCAATGCTTTCTCTTTTGTGTGGAACCCCAATGAAGAAGCCAAGGTAAACACACACCACATTCAAACCAATGCGTATAAAGAGGAGGAAAAGGAGTAGAAAAGAGACTTGACGTGACAACATTTGTGTCTCGACAATTCTAACAGAAACTTAGAGAAAATAGCTGCACTACCATAGCAGCTAGCTCAAAGAATATTTATTATGATATAGCTAACAAAACATTCTACCAGACAGTTATTAAAGACATAAAAATGTTTTTTCAAATGAGGTTGGAGTCATCTTGTTGCTTTATGACTGTCGCCACATTTGTTTTTCATTTGAGCTCATCTGCAAAACCTGTCATTAAGTCTTTGTTTTTGACACATGCACAATGAAAATATGTTGTAAACAAAAGATGTCGTGGCCAAAATACACAGTTATCTGATCCAGTCTGCTCTTCCTCTCTTTTATTATTAAGGTTTACATTGGCATCAACTCTTTGAGCACTGACTTTTCATCCCAGAAGGGAGTGAAGGGTTTACCACTGAACCTACAAATCGACACGTACGACTTTAGCTCAGGAAACAACAACCTAATTCACAGAGCTGCCTGCCAGGTCAAGATTTTCTGTGATAAGGTAAGTCGCTGGTTATTCTCTTTGGTAGATTTTGGCATGCCAGAGTTAGAAACCCTTTGAGTTAATGCCGTTCCTGTTGTCTTCAGGGTGCTGAAAGGAAAATGCGGGATGAGGAGAGGAAGAGAAGCAAGAGGAGGGGAAAAAATGCCAATGACACCAACGGTAAATGTCAATAACAACGTCATTATTAAAAAAAAACAAAAATGTTAGAAATATGCGAGTATGTTTGTATTAATATTGCTGGGGTTTTGTGCTTTAATTCCAGCTAACAAGTCTCTAGTAAGCAGCTCCATGGGCAGTGACTGCACCTTCTTCCAGACACTGGACGATCACGTCACACAGCCAGTTCTCTTCATTCCAGAAACACACCTCTGCAGTTTACAGCGCATGGTGAGAGCACTATGGTTTATTTACTTTCCTTCACGCTCCTTTCCCCGTCTCCCTTCCAGGCAGAGGGGCAGGCACGAGAACATTGGGATAAACTGTGGGAAAGTATGCAGTGGGCTGGGAAAGGGGAGGAGAAGGAGGGTATGGTGTCAGCGAAAGTGAGGTGAAGCACTGAGGAGCTAATTGGTGTCGAAACCAGGCACTGGTACAAGCTGCTGCAGCTACAGACACTGAGATTAAGCCATAGGGGCTCACATGAAATACACCCACTTTCACACACAGACACCTGGTGCTGCAGCACAGAGCCGACACTTGACATTGAGTGCGCACCACCCTCATGTCATCAGCTTGTATCGCTCACACATACATACACTTGCAGGATCATTGAGGGGAGTGTGCTGTTCAGACAGGCCACTGTTCCCACAGTTTTTACACAGTGTGAAGTGACGATGGATGCAAGTGTGTGCGTGTGTATGTGTGTGTGTGTAATGTATTTTTTAGTCGCCTGCATTCAGTACTATTGTTTAAGTTGCTTTCACTACAGAGAGCGAAACCAAATAAAAACCAACTTTGCTTAATCGAAACCAGGCAGCATGCAACAGCGATCAGGGGCAGACGGTGTTTTGTGATTGTCCAACGTGATAAAGTATAGGAACCTCCTATCTGTGTCTCTACATCAGTGTCCATGCAGTCTTAGACTAATGATAACATTCCGTTTTTCATGTGTTTAATCATGTCACTCTCTCTTTCCTTCTCCCCGTCTCTCTAGGCCATTTCCGTAGATGAGAATGAAAGGTGAGCTCCACACTAAAACACGTTCAACTCTTATCGTAGTTAGTTGGTTAGCTAAGCTCTTTAAAACCTTCAAGTAAAAACTTAAAAGCTAAAAATGAGAACTATTGTCTTTGTTGGTATAGGAATCCCCAGAAGAGGCAGTACAGCGACAATCAGACCTGCTCTCCTCCCAACAAGCAGGCCCGCAGAGAAGACCCACAGAGAGGTAGGTGCAAAACTCAAACTCTGATTATATTCATCAAATATCAGCCTGGGAGCCTTCGTCATCTCATCGATCCTTTCGTTTCTCTCCTAACTGAAGTCCTTCTGTACGTGAGGACGAGCGCAGAGGAAGTGTTTGACGCTCTCATGCTGAGCTCGCCGACACTGTCAGGCCTAAAAGAAGCTGTAAGTATCACCGGACTAATCATAACTGACACTGGTAATCACACTCTTCATGTGACTTGATGTGTGAGGTTGTGTCATCGTTCTGCGATGTGTTCTGCGAACTCACACAGACACGTCAACCTTACATCTTGGTTTGTCATTGTCTTTGAAAAAATGCCATCTCTCAGGTGTATCATCTGTCTCTCGGTGCCAGGTCGACCTAACTGTCATGTCATATTTCCTTTCCTTCCTCAGATTTCAGAAAAGTACTGTCTGCAAAAAGACACCATTGGGAAAGTCTTCAAAAAATGCAAGAGAGGGTGAGTTGCGTTCATTGTCTTTTATAAGTTCAACTGCACTTTTTCCTCGCACGAGGTGGATTAATAACACAAACGATGTGCGTAAACTCAGGTCTTAGTGTGTGTTTTAAAAATCTCCTTTGAGGAAGCTCATGTTGACAAACCGGCTCGGTAGGTTGTTACTTGGCTCGGCCTGATGGAATTTGTTAATTGCAGCTCCGCCAAAAATAAAATAAGACGAAGAGGAAGGGTTTCAAAAGACCTGTATAGATGAGTCACTGTGCCTCACAACCACATCTTGTTGGAACATCTCAAGGTTTTGTCGTGTCTAGAGAATTCAGGTGTATTGAAGGCTTCGGAGCTTTAAAGTCAGCAGCTGTAGGCAGTCACACTTAGGTTAAGAGATATCATGACCTGACTAATTAAAAAAAAACACAAAGTCAGATCACTTATTCAAACATGTAGTCAATTTTTTTTCTTTCCTAAAGATATCGGAAAACAAACAAAAAATCACCTAAAACAAGAGTCATAACTTCCACTTAACTAAGAGAAGTAACAAACAGCTTTAGGTGATTTTTCTGGTGCTCGCCCGCAGCTACCACTGCACTGGGAGCAGCTAAGCTAACAGGTTGGATGACATTCTCTCAGTAGTTCCCTCCCTCCTGTCTTTAGCACTTGTCTTTAATCAGCCACATCCCTTCAGGCAGAATGCGTGAAGCTCCTGCAGACATTAAAGGCACACAGGGTTGGTGCTAGTGCTTGGGAGGAGTTACTAAGAAGAGTGACCTGATTTACTACTTGTACTGATGCTGAAGATATGCTATCACGCTTGAGAAAACTGCCTTTAAGAGAAATGACTCCTGACAGAAAGATTTGTGTATTGTCCCCCAATGTCACAACACCAAAACTTCTAAGTAAAGAATCTGAAAACTATGGGTTAGTGTCGCTAAAAACTGAGCTTTTTTTTGTTACTGGTTAATACCCTTGATTTGTTAAAGTAATGCATTTTTATATACAATTAAATTCTTCAACCTGATGTTTTCCACAAGAACAAGTAATCTATTTAGCTCTGTGGACTGGAGATCTTTATGTCAAACGTATTATTGTCCTTGCTTGTCATTTCTTAATGTGTATTAGTAACAGAAACCATACTGCCATAAGTTGGGAGCTTCTTTTGCCCACCCCCGGAGCCTATGCTTTCTTACCTTATTAGATTCTACCTAAACATGGTCCAAATGTCTATAAGTTGCTAACGTTTTATTTCTTCTCCCATTGTCACAGAATTTTTGTCAACATGGATGATAACATCATTGAACACTACACCAACCACTCGGCCTTCCTCATAGAGATGTCAGAGTCAGTTTCCGGGCAGTTCCAGATCACATTGGTTGAAGTATGAAGGATGAAAAGAGAAGCCTCCCATCTGCCCGTTTAAACTATCTCTCAAAGCACTGCCCTATCAGAGACTATGTGAGCTTTGGGCTGACAGAACCAAAGACAGAACCGGGCCAAAGAGGCCTCTGCAGTTTTCTGATTTCAAAAGAACATCAATTCGTCAATTCCTTTCCTCCTGGATGTTGTAAATACCATTCACTTCCCTTTTTATGATTTTCTCCATTTGAATTTAATATTTTAATGTAAAAGCATGAACAATGACCAGCCTGTAAATATACAATGTAAATATATTTTAGTGTTACAGTGTTTATGAATTAGCCATGTGATGATGAAATCCATTTTTCCACAAATTGCGACGTATTTCAATTTTGTTTTTCGTCAGTACATTAGTCATGTACAGCATATTCTCAGCATTTTCAGTTGTTGCAAGTCCTGCTGCTCTAAGTGTTTCCATCATTTCTTCTGACTCCCTGCAAGAGTCATCGCCTTTTCTTACCAACATACAGCTTTACAGTGCCAAAAGTATGTTCCTCCAAAGGTTTCTGTTTCACAACCAACATGGCCGTGTTACATTTAGTACCTAAAGTCACACATTTCTACGCATAAAACCACACAACAGTTAGTTGATGGTGTCGATTGATGTTAACCCTAAACTCTGAGCATTTCCTCACTGTGTGATGAGACCGCTGACTTTGTCGTGAGCAGATCAGGAACCCTGACATCCCGAGGGCCTGCCGGAGGACTTGTGTGTGTGTGTGTTTAAGCATGTAATTCTGTGTGCGTGTTAATGTCGTAGGATTTTTTTTTTTCATCCTTGTACGTTACGCATCATTTCAAAGCAAACATATATCCCTGTAATATTTCATAATTATCCCATGGCAATTCTGCTTGTATTATTCAACTTTTATAACAAAATAAAGAAAATACATACGTAACAGCTGCTCCAGCCTTTGTCTCTCTTTGTTAAATGTTATTCTTAATAGAAATCACGATTCTTTTCAGTATATGACGTGAGCGGAAGCTTTGTTCGCATACTGTTTGTTTAAAATAGAAAGCGCAATAAAAATATATTTTGCTTCACATGATGATTTCAATATTGATCAAAATAAACATGATTATCATTTCGGTCATAATCGTGCAGCCCTGGTCTCAACTTCAACTATAACTTATACGCCAAAGTGATAAGAAGGGAAACATTTTCAAACTAAATATCAGCTAAATAAAACGGTTGCTGAAATGTATCACAAAGTGTGGCCTTTTTGATGGCAGAGTATTTTCACTGAATACAATGCTTCACAGTTTCTTGTGGTTGGAGCTGAAGACGGTTGTTTGTTTAATATGTGGCTTTGGTGGAAATGTTTCCAGTACATGTAAAATGTATTTAATCACATCAGAGATTTTAAAATAATCGAAAGTTATGACCGTTATAGTTTTGTTATAATACAGTTGGTATTATAGCGTCATTTTGTCCGACATCTTAAAGCTTTGTATAAAGCTTTGTATTTGTATAGACTATTTTGCAGCAGTGACTGGCGAGGCTGTTTACTGTGAGAGTGTGTCTATGAGTGCAATTAAAGTGGCCTTTTGTGGTGAAGTGCATATTGAAAATGCAAAACAAAAAAAACATGCTGCTCTCCACGAACCAAAAGATGAGCTAAAAGATTGGTCTCTCTACTTTCTCTCTCTCTCTGTCTGTCTCTGTGCAGATTAGGAGTAACCAAACTCACTTGTGTTTTGTTCTACAGCAGCTCCATGTCCCAAAATAGACACACGTTGGACTACAGACAAAAGAGGTTGTTGCTTTTCTTTATTTGGGAGTGTTGATGTGAAGTGAAGTGGTGCTGTGGCCTAGATATAACACAGACATCCGTCATGCAGTCACATACGCACACCAAATTTCACAAGTTGCAGGGACTTAACCCATCACTTGTCGGCACAGCCCTGTCTGATGATAACAATAACACCAGCGCTCGTCGAAACCTCAATTTGGCCAGTGATGGTCACCTTAGTCCCTGTATAAGTGATTTAGCACGACTGTTAACATCAGATCCTTTTCCTAACCCAGTTATTCTCATTAAATATTGCTGGGGATTGATAGAGAGCATGTGGCGCCCTCCTGAGGATACAGGTATATGAAGCAATTATTGGGGTTGGTATATTAGCACACTGCTATGCTGAAATTCTCTACTATTTAGACCAGGATGCTCATGTAGACCCAAAAAGCATGATTAAAATAGATGAGTCATCGGGACCCAATATGTGTCCCCACGATTCAGCATGTCCCCATAAAGCAGGCGTGTAAACAGATATATGTCCCCACATGTGATGATTACCATGAACTTACACACAGTAAGTGAGACAGAAGGAGAGAAGCAGAGACCCTGTGTGGAGGCAGCAAGGGGAGGAAAAACAGGGGGCAGAGACACAAGGACAAAACACAAACGTAAAGAGAGAGGAACTGAGAGGACAGAGAAAGGTGGAGAGACTGCTGGAGTAAACAGGCAGAGGAGGAGGAGGAGGAGGAGGAGGAGGAGGAGGAGGTGAAAGCAGGGATAAAGGAGATGTGTTTGCACCATCTGCTGCCAGAGAGGGAAACGTGTTAACCAGTCGCACAGCAGCAGCAGCAGCAGCAGCTACCGATCTGCAGTGAGACACACACTCACACACCTCCTTGAATGGTAAGCAGCATGTGTGTACAGTATGTGCACGTGTGTCCATGCATGTGTGAAAGTGGTGTTTTTATTCAGAACCTTCGATGTTCTTATCATTCTGAAACACACGGCCAGTCTCCTCACCGCTCTGCTCCTGCACTTGCTTCCATCCCTGATTCCTGCGTTGAGGAAGTCACTGTGTTTACGGTGTATGAAAGCAGCGCATGTGTGTGTGTGTGTTTAACAGGCGCAGTGTTTGTTTTTGTCACTGATCAACATTACATTAAACCGAGTGTGTTTCTCTTTAGACATAAACTAAAAAAAAAAAACATTTTAGCACGAGCCTGTTGAAAATAGCGCCAACAGCTGAGGTGTAAGGTGTTAAAGATCATGAATGAGATGGGGTTATCGTGCACCACACATTTAGATCTGGTAAATTCACAAGTCATGCAGGGAAGTGAAGGAGGGTGTTCATACAACATTGTGTATTTTCGCCATGACAACAAAACAGCTGCAAATTAAGGAATGCTGCCATTTTCACGTCCACGTTAGAAATTTCATACACAGACTAGGGATAAATATTTCTTATTATTTGGATGCATTGATTTTAATATTCATCTGTGTATATACACAGACTTTAAGTTATTTGGATTCAAAGAAAATTTGTTCTATTGATACAAATCTGCCGTATCTTTATTTTGGGTACAGTTTAGTTAATTAACTATTTTTTGTCGATCTTTTTGGTTTTTCTATAGATTCTATTTTTTTTTTCTGAAATTTTACCTAAATGTAGCTATCACGTGTAGCTATCATTCATTTGTTATTTTGCGGTTTTAGTGATATGCTTGCTTTGTCTGTGGTAAATGACCTCCAGACTTGTTTTATGAAGTATGAAGTATTGGACTAGTTTAACTTTAGTCACAGTCTGACTGCCTGCTGCGAAATAGATAAACACTTGAATTCCCATCCCCTACATGGCAACAGACAGGAGGGCACTGTCCCTCCTCCTCCTCCTCCAGGTTATGACACTGTTACCTCACCTCACCCTCACCCTCCACGCCCTTCACACACACACACACACAGATCCTAGATGTTATTTTTGCTGGTTTTTGATTCAAGTAATGCTATGAGTAGATTGACAAAAACTCCAAAGTGGTGTAAACCGCCCACTCACACAAAAGCATCTAATCATGTCATGGCTGTCACATGAGTGTATCCTAGCAACAGAGACAGACATCGACCATTTAGTTTAGTTTTTTTTTTTCAGTCCAGCAGTGGAGTCAGACCTTGGTATTTGTTTGCTCTGAGCTTTGTGAGTGGAGCGATCATTTTCTGTCTGCTCCACTCCTCCGCGTTTGGTCTGGTGTCTCCGTCATTCTGGGGTAACATATGTCTCTGTTACACCTGTTTCTCCTGCAGACTAAAGAGAAGCCTGAGCCAACAGAAGATTCAGGACAGAGGTAATAAACAATCTTTTATGTATTTATTGAACTCTTGCTGCAGTTATTTTTCTTTTATAAACAGCCTTTTCATATGTTCCTAATATTTCACCTCTACATTTTTAAATGGAAAAATCCTGCAGTTTTCGATTGACTCTGGTAGATTTAAACCAATATAGATGGACTTGTACTTGTAGATCTTTATAGTTAACAGCCCAATAGAATCTGATGAATACAAATCAACAGGCAATTTGGAATAGGAATTACAATGCAAATCAGGGCTAGCATTCCATCACTGACACTGACCAACCTCCACAAATATACCATATCTTTTAATTGGAGAATTTAATTGTTCTTTTCTAAAAAGCACCTCTGTTTTTATTTGTTTCCTGGTTCATTTATTACAACCGAATAAAGCCAGAGCTACTACTAGTTCTACTTAGGGTCACAATTCCTTGGTTGGAGCAACACAATTTTTTAGTTGGATTGGAAAAATGGATGGCTGGATTGATGCATGTATGTATGATTGGATGGATGTACAGTTGGATTAATTAGATGGGTGGAAATTTGAGAAAATGTAAGTAAGTTCAAAGTTATGACGAGACAAAGACAGCTAGAGACTATTAGCCTAAAAACATTCATTGTATGGTTGTCTTAAGGTTTTTACTTTTCTTTACAGTCGGTCCATTCAGCAGTGTCTGGTCTGGAATCATCTCATCTCATGACTAGAGTTTTGTCAACTTTACACACTGAAGAAGTCATTTTATATCATATCTTCATAACAGATGCCAATTTTTAAACCGGCGACCTCTCTGAAGAACTGGTCTTTTGGGGGAATACTCTGGAATGCATTTGAATCCTTTCTACTGCGTAAAAACAAATACGTTTGGTGGTTTTGAATTCAGGACGGTTTCAGCTGTGATGCACACTCCAGCTTCCATGGTGATGGGGATCGTGTTTTCCCCGTTGGGACTAGTCCTCGTGTTCACTGCCGCCATTACTCCCCAGTGGAGAGAAGGTCAAGCACGACTGGGCACATCAGGGTTAGGGTCTCTCCTCAAACCAGGAGTCAAAAGTCAAAGGTTGGGGGTGAAGTCGGTGGAGTCTCTGCTTTTAGTGCGATCTGATGGACTGTGGGAGAGTTGCCTCCAGGTGGAGCAGTCTGAGCTGAAACAATGCTGGCCAGTGTCTGGTCCGTACCAGAGAGACCCTCGAGTTCGCCTGGCACAAGGTTTAATCCTGACCTCGTTGTTCCTGTGTGGAACTGGGATTGTTCTGGCCTGCATCGGGGTCAGGTGTTGGACAGATCTCCCTCTAAGAGGTGTAGCAGCGACAGGTGGACTCCTGGTGGTGGTGGCCGGGCTGCTGAGCCTGACTGCTCTTGGTGTCTACACCCACAACCTTGGACAACTAGGAATGACCAGTCCAAGCCATAGGACCCACCCCCACAGGTTCCCCAACCTTACTCTACATCCAGCTGGATCTCTGTACTTTGGGTGGCTGGGGTCATGTTTACAGGTGATGGGAGGTGTCGCTCTTCTGTTTAGCTTCAAACAGCCAAGATGCCTGACCTTTTCATGCTGCACAGAGATGCCCGTCTGCTCTGTGTGCCGTTCATGTTTACACATGGGCAACAACAGAGACATAGATATGACCCAGTATGATGTCAGCTATTAGACCGTTAACTGTTTCATTTAGATTTAGATAAAGGCAGTGGAGGAATAAATGTGATCTCGGAGCTGAAGTAGAACAGAAGTGCTCCACTGGTTTCAAAAATACAATTTCACAAAGATGTTATTTTCTGTGTAATTGTGCTATCTGTGGCTAGAGTGGCTAAGAAAAGCAAAAGTTCAATTTGGTGGGATTTGTACAGAAGGTTCTGGGATTGGATCCACATAGTCTCCAATCCCAGGTTGGGTTGAGTCCGAAAGTGCAGCTGGTGTAAAAACTCCCTAAGCCAAACTCACCAAAAGACACAATATTAAATTTAATATTTTAAAACATGAATCAGTATATATTCAATATAAATCAGTATATAAATATTTTTATATATGGAAACCTATAAAATAGAATTCTACAAAGAAGGAATTCTCTAACAAAACACCTCTTACAACAGTGTTTAGACCTAAATGGACCAAGTTATTTTCACAAATCAAGGGTTTTAAAATATGTCTACAGTGAGTAGTTGGTTTTACTTTTCTTGGTATTAAATCAAAACCTTAAACTGCTCATTACTCTATAGGACAATGTCTATGACACTATGAATTATAATCATGAATAAAAGTCCTTCAGGTTTTCCTCCACAGCCAGATGGCAGTGTAACTTAGTTACTTGGTGCTGCCCCTAACTGTGCCATGATGTAAAACAACAACAATTACAAACAACAACACGAGCGTCTCTGTGTGCAGCCTTTACCTTTCAATCTGGCAAAACAAACTGTGTTTGCGGTGATGAAGAGATGAGCTGTTGTTTACATGACGTCAGGGCTTTGAAGACAAACAGACACAGGAGCAACTGTAGTTTCATTATACATGTTGTGAAGCGAATGCAAAGCTGTGATCTTTTAAGATCTTTTAAGTTTTTAAGAAGTAGATGTAAGTCGAAATGTGTGTTTAAATGACACGATTCTTGTTTCCGTGGATTTCATCACTCTTGGCTAATAGAAAATAGGGTTGGTGCAGTTTTACTGTTCATTATTGAGGAATGTAAAAGCTGTTTTTTGTTGAGTTTTGTTGGTTTCAATTTGTTTGGTTTATCTATGGGGCCTTAATGTTGGTAGTGTGTTGGTAATGTTTTGATACTGTGTGAATCTGAAGAAGAGATTGTACAGCAGTTTAAATTAGTCGTTATTAACTTGTTACTGTGTGCTGTGTGGTGAGGTCAAAATTTAATAAAACACTGAAACTAAATCAATGTGTCTGTTATCTTGTGAAATCATCAAAAGACCAAGTGAGAAAAACATAAATCTAAAAGAAGACGTTTCACCTTTCATCCAAGAGGCTTCTTCAGTTCTAACTGGTGGTGGGGAGTACTCGCAAAATACATTTTTTAGATTAGACACAAAAGTTTGTACTTTTGGTTAGGTTTGGGAACAGGAAGGTCTATGACCAACAGTCTTTTTTTAAAAAAAAAAAAGTTTCTCAAACTATAATGTGTGTACCTATGGTCTTACTTTGGCCCCCTCTATTGGTATGTGTGAGAAATGTTTTACTACATTGGCAAAATATTGGAGGTGGACCAATAAAAACCTCAAAAACCATTGAAGTCACTATGTTGTTAAACACAGTTGTCTTATACTCTGGTGTATAACTCTGTGGTGTTTATTATGGAATTTAATTTTAACTTGAAATGTGAATTTATTGCATTGTGTGATTTCAGTCTAAAAATTTGATTAAGAATAAATTATTTTCCATGTACATTGCTCAGTTGAACAGTGTTAGCCATTGCCTTTAGCTTATATTCATAATGGTATATTCATATAGTTGAATGTTAGAAACTGTAAAAACTGAATGTTAGCCAGACAGAAGTATCACTAGTCCAAGTTTAGAAGTAATAATAAGTAGATTTTATTTACAGGACATCACATTTAAATTTTATATTATAAATTCTCAGTGAATTATTGTTGTATCTAAAGAATAAGACATAAATATACACTTGGCAACTTGACCTCTGTTGTAAACTGAATTGTATAATTGGGGACAAGTACAGGCTCGATATTTTTCTTGACACAAGCAAAAAGAACACACCGCCATCATGGGATTGTTATGCTTTGAGGTGAACAGCAATAGACAACAGCGGAAAATCATAGACAATATGTAGGAAACAGGCGTAGTCACATGGTTGCAAAAGTTAAGCTGCAGGAGTCTTATGTTCTCATGTGTGAACAGGAATTCTTTTCTCTGTAATATTTTCTATAATGTTCTTAAGATGAATGGAGGTCCAACTCTTTTTTCATTAATCAAGAAAATGCTAAACTGTCATGTAAATCAACTGTATTTATCCAGTCTACATGACTATTTATCACGTTGAACCTATGATTATACAGTACCTGGATTGAAGCCATATTGCCCATGTTTTAGCAATATGTCTACAAATCACAAAAGTATCTCAGATGATGAAATACGGCAACAACAACAAGAGCAAAAACAGATTCCCCCCAGAAGACTCAACAGTCAACTGTGCAGCAAAAATCAATACAAAAGCAAGAATTCAATGTTGGGCTAATAAAAATAGCAACAATTGCTATAATGTAGCCGAGAAATAAATAAAAACAAAAAGCAACCAAAACTACAATTTTGGCCACCAATTTTTTTTCACGATTGCCCTGGTAATTTACAATTAAATATGTTAGTATGAAAAATAAAAAACTGATATCACAGTTAGATCAATGTTGTCGAAATGACCCAATATTTGCATTTGTATAGATAAATGTCTATCTATATAGGACCATTCTGGGATTACAAGGTGAATCGTGTAAGTAATTGAAGTCATCAATTATGATCTATACAGGAAGTTAATGTTTGTTTTAATCGTTTTAATAATTTGTCTAATTTTACCTGGCCACGTATAAAATGTCTGTTTATTTTAGGTTTACATTACAATAACAAACACAGGTTAGTAATAAATGAAACGGACAACTCCTAGAGCCGGATGCACAAGCCCAACGATTACTCCCTAACGGGAGAAAGTAAAAGAAGCTAATGCTAAATGTCACAGCACAGACACTGAAACTGAGAAAGAGAACTCGACCTCACGCTAAGTTTACGTACCAACAGTATAATGTAGCGTTAGCTGAATGCCTTGTAACCTTGCACTGAAAGCCGAACCCGTGTCGTACTCGTACACCATTGTTGATGACACGCAAATATTTAATTTCCCACCAAATCAATAAAAAGTTATGAAAACGTTAGCGTAATTTAATCCAGTGACTGTGTATTTACCTTTGCTTCGGCGAACAAAGTCGGGTGGCTGTCCCGCAGGTGACGAAACATATTGAATGTATTTCCAACTTTCACTGCTATTTTTTGGCATCATTTACATGCTGGAAAGTCGTCATCCACGAGGACAAAATAATCCCACACGGCCGATTTAATGCCCTTACTGGAGGCCAATAACTCTTCTGCCCTTATTTCCAACTTTAACACGCCTCTGTTCTGCAATTTGCACGGACCAAAAACAAGGCGACACACGTACAAAACGTGGGTGTTGTGTAACTATGTTTTCGTTCTTTCGTTTTGTGCTTAACTATAGTACCGGGATATGTATATATTCCAGAAACGTTACGATTGTAGCGTTTTATATATAAATATATGTACTGATCAAAATATAATTAAGTCTTTCAAATAAAGTTTATGCTGAAAATTTAGAAGATGTCCTAATCTTTCAAATAAGGTTTATGCTGAAAATTTAGAAGATGTCCAAACTTTTTCTTAAAGATATTTAAATGTGAAAACTCCCCAAAACATATGGAAGTTAAGGAAAAAGTGGTGGAAATTTATTTAAAATTAATTAATATGGAAATTTGTTCTAATACCAGTGCTATACTTTTGGTACAAAACGTCACATTTGTAGCCATTGTTTGTTTCCTGATGACTACGTCCATTTCTTATATCCAGTCTATGGTTCAAATAACATCCATTTGTCCCTCAATAAAACTTCGCCAATGTTCTTTTTAAATGTAGAAGTAGTTCTCTGCAGGTTCCCCACTCTCCATCATCTCACTCAGCTGCTGGTTTATGGACTCCTGCAGTGATCCCACACACAGTTCTAACATTGGACTTGATGGTGTGAGCAGAGAACCCTGTGGGATGTCCAGGTGAACGTCAGACAGCTCTGCGTCTACGAGCTGCTCTCCTTCACTCAGGTTCAGTCCATACGCCGTCCCTGAACTGGCTGTTTCCTTAGCAACAGTTTCCAAGGCAACATCTTCAGCAGGCACATCCTGCACCTCCTCCTCCTGCTCCTCTTTTTCCTCCTCCTCTCCCTTGGAGGCCTTCAGTGCAGTCAGTTTCTCTATTTCATGAACTAGTTCCTCATTTTGTTCTTTCCACATGCGGTACTTCGTAGCTGTGAGCTCCGAATCCTCCAGGATCTTATCGATCTGAAGCAGCTCTGCTTCCTTGGCCTGCAGAGAAGAAACAAAGGCTTCAGTCACAATAATGTCTCCTTATTTTGTAAATGACGACATCATCAAATATTATTTCCTATGGTTCTCTACATTTGTTGTAAATACTTGGAGCCTGCAAAAAAGAACTTTATAAAGCTAAAGAAAATCACATGTGCAAACATTGAGATGACCTAAGCTGCAACATGTAAAATATTTATAACAAGTTGTTGATATTGATGCAAATGCAAAGTTTAACAAAACGTAATCTGTGTCGTGGTGAAGTTTTTAAAAGCCTTAAGGCTGTGCATACTGAGTGACCTTCTGACCTTCAGCGTACTCTGGAGGACCCTCAGAGTGTGAGCCTTCTCATTAATGACGGGGTTCTTGTTGCGTCGGATGAAGGACCTCCTGAAGTGGTCGTGGGTGAAAGGCTGCTCATTGCCGATCAGAGACACTCCTCCTTCCTTTATGTTGTTCAACATCTTTCCCATCTCGTCTTCTGTGCTGGCTTCTTAGGAAGACAAAAACACCGACACGGAACGTGATTGTGAAGATGTGAACGTGTGTAACAATTGTTTAACATCTGTATATTTGTTTATGGAAAATTATTTTTTGTCCTAATTATTTATTTGTTTTATATTTATATTCGTTTTTTTTACCATTAATATTGTTTATAGAAAATAAACAATACTTCTTGTTTTCAATTATGCTAGTTGCAAGTACCTTTTAAATTTCAAGTTTTCTCAATTGTTCATAACTTAAAAGGGATATTTAAAATACAATGCATTTGCATTAAGATGAATTCTAGTCCTGAGTATCACTAAGTATTTGACCATTTAAAGTCTGCCCTGTCACTGCTGATTCATACACATGACTCACCTTTTACAGAAAACAAAAACTTATCAGTGAAAGAATGAAGAGAAAACAAGAGTGAGGGAGTACTAACCTGCTCCTTTGCTGCCCCCTGTTGTTACATTTGATAAAGGCGCCCTGCTTGGCTTGGACTTGGGGCGTGGCAGAGTGTTTGACTGCACTTTCTGAATCAGTAAAAACAGACATGAGTACCAGTGTAGACTTAGAGAACCCTTCATCATATAACCTCATGTTTTGTTTTTTTTCTTACTGACCTTGTTCCTCCTGCGAGGTGAAGGCGAGCTCTCACTCTCTGATTCTGTCTCACTGTAACACTCTGCACACCATGGGTCAAAATAAAAAGATAAGAATTATTTTTCAGTGTAAACGGCTTCGTCCGTTTCCAGGATTATTATTTATTTATTTCTGTACATTCGCTTACAAATATTGTCAACATTGTGTTTTTTATTTGGTTCATGGTCATTCTTCTACAAAAATGCAAGGAACGAAGTTAGATAATTACGAAATAAAATTTATTGCCAACGGCGAAAACGATTGTAGATGGGGCTTTTATTTTGTAGACCTGTTTGCTCTTTTCCCTTTACGAGATCCGGCAACAATAAAGGTCCATGATTAAAGGATACTTTCGTACTTCAGGCAGCCTTTTCCACACACACAGATATGTACTCGTTAATTAATACATAAAATCAACTTAGTGGCAACAAAAAGGGTAAGTTGAAATATTTTCTAAAGCTATCGCATGACGACAAGGAACAATATTAGTAGAAATGGAAGTTTGTGACTTGCGCCGTAAGAAATTGTAAAGTAAAGTGACCGAACATTCTGGAAAATTAATTTCGGTCTTCCAATTGAGAAACTGTAAATCCCGAATTTTTAAGTCCGTTCACGAATGAAAACACTAACATGCATTTCGAAGATACTAAACTATTGGTTTAATTGTTGAAAATAATACAGGTTCGTAAACCATGGTTTTAAACGACGTTTTAAATGCCCACTGATTCGTGAATTCGTTTGTCTTCGTGAGTCATATTTGGTGGGATTCTAAACACAACATTTTATATCTGTCGGTCTGTTTCAAGAAGCTGAAAACTACTGTAGCTACGAATTGAGTTAGAATTACAGTTAGAGTTACAGTAGTTCTCGCAGCCTTTAATATATAATCACCGCTGCCTATCCTAGAATTGAGTTAGAATTACAGAGTTAGAGTTACAATTAGTTACAGTAGTTCTCGCAGCCCTTAATATATAATCACCGCTGCCTATCCTACGACAATGCAGCTGTGACGTCGCGGTGACTTTGCATCATACTCTTTTTTGCAGACCCTATCGTTAACAACCTAGGTAACCATAGCAATAAAGATCACTCTTAATCACATTGTATCATTTTAACTCCTCAACCTCTTAATCACATTGTATCATTTTAACTCCTTAGAGAACATATGCGTTCAATATTATAGATAATATGCACAACTGCACAACTTTGTCCTTTATTTTATAGTTTAAAAACCTGGTCAAATCAGATCGTCAACCTCAAAAACATTTAAAATGACTCTTAAGTGCAACTTTTTTTAGTACTGTGTAATCGATCAAAGAAAATGATAGCATGGACGTACCCTCCTCACTGTCGGGGCCTCTGCTGAGCTTCTTGTGTTTTTGTATGGCTGTGATCAAACAGTTGATCCACCTGTAAAATACACAGTAAATAAGAGGTTTAAAACAGCGGCAAAAAGCCAACTACAGGGGGCAGTGCAGACCAACAACCATTGACGGGATAATTCAACACGGTGGCAGACTTTGTACTGAGTGATCCAGGTCAACTGTTTCCTAGTAAGGTTTAAGTAAAAAAAACTGTACTGTTAAATAAACTGTTTCCCCAATATATTTGTCACATTGCAAAAGATTTTTGCTGAAGGTCTAAAAAAAGCTGATGCATTTTGGGTGTGTGAAGTCTTTCTGTAAAAAAATAGGCAATGATTATTAAACTAGACTCACTTGCTCATCTCAGTGACATTGTCCGCAGCAAAGAAGAAGTTCTGGAACCTCTGGTGGCACATTTTGAAAACACTAATGGAGAGAGATACACAGAAAGTGAGTGTAAAGTGTCATCAGATATTTTTCAATACCAGATGTTGACAACCTGCAGAGCCAAAATTAGCAATTGAACTGTGTGTATTAGTACTGTTGAAATCTGACAGGATTAAAAACCACACACACACACACAATATATATATATATATATATATATATATATATATATATTGTGTGTGTGTGTATATGTGTGTATATATAGATTAGTTTTAACATTTTTAATATCAAAACTTTTCTTACTATTTCCTCTTGTGTTCGCCAGCGCTCTCTATGTTATAGCTGGATATGTTGATAAAACCTTCTGCTTTTTCATCCTGCAGAGAACAAAATATTTAATCAAATCACTTATTATTAAACTTCAATTCATATAAAATTGACTTATTACTATTAGATGGAATATTAATTTATTATCCCCACTCTGGGAAAATTGTTGAAATCCTTATGTTACATCTGTTAAATACTTCAAAAACTGCTGAAATAAATATTCATGTGCTGTTATTTATTTTTAATTACAGAGATGTCATGTGACTTCTTCATCCCCTACATTCCCACCTGTTGGCTGGTGTACCAGTAGAGCGACGGTCCCTTTAGGACAAACCAGAATCGCTGCCACTTCTGAGCGATGAAGACACTGCTGTCCTTCCTCTTCTTCCACAGCCAGCCGTCACAGTCAGGTCGACCCAGCTCCTTGCAGGACACTCGACGTCTGCTCATAGCTGTGGACATTCCTAAAAAGGTGTGTAAATTAATAGTGTGCCAAATCTGACAAAAATATACATAATTAACCTTTATTTAATTATCTGTGGAAAATAACATGATAGTTGGAAATCTATTGTTAATTGCACATACATTATTTGAAAGAATATAATAAAAAATAATATAACATTTGTATTAAATGTGTTAAAAGAGTCTTGAATTTTTAAATTAGAATAAAGAAATTAAAAAAGATTCACAGATAATCCTCTGTTTAATCTAATTTAATTTAAAGTTGTAACTGGTTGTGGTGGAAGTTTTATATAGATGAAAATGTTACCTTTAGTAGAGCTTTTCTTAGGCTCTTTATTCCCCTAAAAAGAGAACCAGAGTTCATTATTGCCCATCATTAATGTTCATCATAGAGAATGTTGTGTTGTTCTTTCATTTCTTCTTACCGGGTGTCCAACCATCTCAGGACAGGAGCTGACACTTGTCCTGTCCTGACTGAAGCCTTGAGGTGAAGGACTTCTACAAGACTCCAGATGAAGAGGAGAAGGACTTCTAAAAGACTCCAGATGAAGAGGAGAAGGACTTCTGCGTGACGATGACTGGTCTCTCCTCGATTTAGGAGAGATTCTGGAGTTGTCCAAACTCTCAAACTCTTCTTGAAAAGGTAAATGATATGATAATAATTGATTATTTATGGACAACAAACCTCTGTTTACAATGCTGATGCTACAGACTTTACTCTGCTCCTCAAAATAAGGAGAAATTAGCAGAGAAAATGCCAAAATGTTACTCATCATAGTTGAGTCAAATGTCAATTTTATTAAAAGTTAAACTCAAACATATAAATTAAAAACTAAAAAATTTAAAACTATAAATAAGCAAAATTGCACTGTAAAAATAGCCACACTTGGCCAAACTGTTACCTTAAACTAAAATTAAAGTTATTAACAACTACATGTCAGCCAAGGGGTATCTGCAGAAAACACCAACATTGATGTGGATATTTTGGACCACTAGAGGGTGCTCACGTACCTGAGGCTGAGAGTGGTGAAAACTGTCCGGGTTGGCCCTGATTCACCTCTAGTTTTTTGTCAAAGGACAACTCTGATTCCTCCTGTCCCATAGGCTGCTGCTGCTGCTGCTGCTGCGCCTAAATAACTTCAGACGTGACAGACCACGGCTGATTCCAGGGACTTGACAAGTTCGTGAATGGCTTTTCTTTTACACAAAAACACAAGAACTGACTTAAGTATCCACTCTAAATTGTCTGGTTCGTTAAATGGCCGTGACATCAGTTAGAAGGTCAACACTGTTACATCCTACCATAAAAAAGATAAACAACCTGTGGTAGATCTGCCCATAACATATTATTATTTACGACTTTTAGGCAGCAGCTTCAGCCTCTCCCTCAACTTACATGTGTCAGAGCTCATCTGCTCCCCATCACTGTCACCTCCCACTCCATTACTCCTCTCTCTTCCTCATGTTTATATCTTTCTTCAATTCCACACGGCCCTGGTGACTGACCTTTTTATTTCCCACCCGTCTCATCTCATTTCCAGTCATATATGAGTGCTGATTTTATGAAAGTGGAATTTATGGAACTTGTGGCGTGACCTCATCACATAACCACCCACTGCTGATAAGTTAAGTTCCGAGGGGTTCAGCATGATTTAGGAAATCTATAGAAAACACCTGGGAGGTAAAAAGTACTCGACATACTTTACAAGTTTTGATCATAAGAGACCTTGTTTTTTTGGTTTCAACTTAATTTAAAATAAAACCCTTTATTGCCAAAAAAGTAATCTATAAGTTTTAGAAAAATGTTCCCACTAAAATGTTTTTTTAACTGCACTCACAATATTATTGCTCTCTTTGCAGAAAGGCTTCAATAAAAATGCAAAGAAAAACAAGCTGCAGTTTTGACAAAGTGAAGGCTGCACAGATATCAATTTAATTTAGTTAAACATTATTGCTACTGCATAACTATTGCAGGATAATTTAAGCTAAGTTTGTTTTCCAGCATTTTGTTAGCTAACTTAACTAACTTCAAAATAATATCTTAAAAATAACTTTTCTTATATAAAACATTGTTTCTATGAAATTACAAAATTAGTGATAAGCCGTATGAATTTATTTTGTCCACTTTCCAACTGATGTTTGTTTAATTTGATAACTGTAATGTAAATGTTAAGAAAAAAGCCCATGGAATTCAGCGGTTCTCAATTTTAATTCTATGATTTTAACTATTAATTTGCTTTTTCTTATTTTTTGGTCAACAAACATGGGAAATTGCTGAGTTACCATAAAACATTGTTATAGTAAGGCATCAAAATCTATTGTGTAGCCTTAACTCTTCTCACCTAAACGACAGGGACCTGACAGAAGCTGCCACTCTCTCAAATATAGAGTGTCGTGGATTCTCCTCCTCCTCCTTCTCCTCTTTTTCCTCCTTTTGTGACCTCTCGTCCTCCTCTTTCTGAAAGAACAAATGAAATCCTGTCAGCGTGGACACTTAGTGTCTGCCCTCCTGAGCTACGGCAAGGGAGTGGAGGAGGCGGATGTCAGGTTGATTGTTACAGTGTTGTCTCCTCGGCTCCGTCGGCTCAAGAGATGAGTCACACACACACACACACACACACACATTTAATGTACTTCCTATAACACACAGCTGATTCACATCTAATGGCTTTTCTCACCCTCTGTAATACTCTGTGGCCAGTTAGACCTGACAAAAAACGTGGTAATACTCTAGTGTGTGTGTGTGTGTGTGTGTGTGTGTGTGTGTGTGCTACTGGTTCTGCTGTATTTGTGGGGACAGTGTTTTAAAGAAATATTTTAATTTTGGGGGGATTTTGCAGGTCCCAATGAGTCAGACAATATTTAGGGTTTAAGATTTATTTAAGGATTACAATTAGTGTCAGATTAAAATTATATATTTGTATGTTTGTGTAAAAGTTAAGGTTAGTGTAAGGGGGAGCGAGTATGGTTTCTGATAATTCAGCATACAAAAAAAACAAACCACGGTTGCCGTAGTGACTCCTGCCAGTGTTTGTGGAAACTGGTTCCCAAGTGATTTTAAGCAGAAATTGTGTGGCACAGCTTCCACAGACCAGAGGAACTCACAGGGTCTGAACCACAGATCTGTTCCCCTGGATGTGATTTACACTGAAGTGAGACTGAACCTGTGGCAAAAGGATGTTGGCTCGAGGGTTTATCTCACGGCACAAGAAATCATTTCAAGGCTTTTTGATAGCTTGCAGAATCATTTGTAATTTAAAATGTGATTTTTGACTAATGCTGCTGGCCTTTTATAGATATAATTTTAGCAATTTCTGGGTTTCTGGACTTAAAAAAAAAGATTCTGGATATTTAAAATTTTAGACTCTACTGATGTTTGACCTTGTTGGTCCTCTATGGTAAAACTTAACTTATTGTAACTGAAAACACCTGTTGTTGAGGAGTTCTGTAAAATCACAGACCTGTGTTAGTGATACCTTCACCACTGGGTTTTTGTGGCACGCTAAGCCTGGAATTTTCTTCAGGACCAGAGTTACTCCATTGGGATTCTCTTTGAGCTTCTTCACCAAATTTTCTTTGCTCCAACCAACCTGTTACAGCAGCACAGTTCATTACTACAATACACAGCCTGCAGAAACATTCAATTGACAATCACTGTACCAAAGGTTTATTCAAAATTTTGGTACGTGCTGATAGAACCAGGTACAGACAGTCACTAGAAGAGTCTGCTCACCACAATCTGGTCGTTGACCTTAATCACCTCATCACCGGCCAGGATTTTCACAAAGACATCATCAGAGAGCTGCGTGAGAAAGAACGAACACCTGATAATTCTAATCACATAAATGGAGTCCATGGAAAAATGTCATACCAAAAATACCACATCTATATTTTGCCTTGAACTACATGAATTATTTCAAGAATTTTATGAAGAAAAAATGTTAATTAGGAAAAACAATTCACTCTTTAGAGAAATTTATAAATTTATAAATATTAAAGCATACCGGTTTGAACTTGTTCAAAATTTCGAAAACTTTTTTTGTGTAAAAATGTCATTAAAAGTAAAAGAAAACCAATTTGTAACATAAGTAAAATATAAAAACTTTTGTTCCAAAATGATTTACCTGCACGAAAACTTCGAAAAATCTTAAAAGAAAAAAAAGTTGAACTGACATTGTCCAGGTGTATAGACTGAATCAGCCAACGTTCTGGCAGCATTTGTTTGTTTTTGAGCAGATGTTTAGTTTCTCCTCCGTTACTGTGGTGATGCGATTGCAGTAGCAGGAGATATGGGAGTATTTCAGAGTTGACGTCAAGGAAAAAGAACATCTGACTCCAACTTTCTCCTTCACCAGAGTGTGTGTCTCACACGCTTTCTTTTTTACCAGCAATTTGGCCTAAACCTTGTTTATGTTGTAAGACCCTAATCTAATTTTCCTGCAAAATGTCAAACCATTCTCAGATAAGGTCTGGCGTATTTTAATGCAAAAATATTAAAGCTGCAGGCAACAGTGAATCTCTATGTTGTAGCGTTCAGGACAAAGGTCAAAAGAAACTGCTTATTACCAACAATTCTCTGCGAAAAACATTGGAGATAAAAATGTATTCATATTTGCAAATTATCAAGCAAGAGCATGTTGATATGAAGTGTCCCTTTGAGAAAAAATGAAAAGTACACGTCAGAACATAAGTTCTGCCAACTGTACTGGACCATATCATATCAATGCATATCAGTTTAAACTGTTACAGTTAAAAAGTGAATTCAGTTACAATCTAAAGCAGCTCTGGCACAAAGCTAGCTCACAGCTCTAAGGCTTTCAGGAGACGAAACAGCCAATACTTCCTGAACACTTTGACCTCTAACCCTAGACACGTCATCACTTCAGGCTGCTGGTTGACTACAAGTGCTTAACACCTGATTAATGTAAACAATGAAGGTCTTCTGACCCATGAACTAGTTTCAGACTGATTGTGTCTGTGTAGGTTCATCTTATCCAAAACTAGTTACATCGAGGGCAACTGGACAGAGTAGGTTTCTTGAACCTACTTTTGGATTTCAGGCTGATCCTTTCACCTGAATCACTGAGTCATTTGGGTCACATGTCCCCCGTGTGTTTTTTAATCACAGTGAAGCCAAAAGAAAAAGAACACAATAACGGCATTTAGAATGCAGTGTTTACAGAAGTCACAGGACGTAAACAGAGCCAGCAGTGACTGTGTGTTTCTATGGATACTGTTTCACAGCTTTTACTTAAGTCTCTTAAACTGAGCAAAGAGTGAAAGACTTTCAAGGCCCTTCGTAAACAGTAATAACTGTATAACAGAACTCAACTGGACAATAAAAAAAAAAGAACAGATAGTCTACGGAATAAAACCACACAATAATTTTAAAATTATTATTTCATATTTTTCTGCTCTGTTGACAGTGGCCACGATTAAATGTTTGCTTGTGCAAAATAGACAGATAGATAAAATAGTACTTGTCACCGATGCAACTCACGAGACCTGGATCTGTCAGTAAATCCCAAGGAAGAAATGAGGCCAAGTGTTTTAACAGGTTTAGCTTGGCATAGCTCTGGAAAACTGACTCTCCAAATAAATGCTGCATACCAGCGTATCCTGTAACATGCTGTTCATGCCCATATCTCAAAACGAACCCTAGATGCTGAACAAAACTTTTTTCATCAAAAGGTAACATACTTTCTCAGAAAAAAAGGAGTCACAATAATACAAAACAGATTTTTCTCTTTATTTTAAACTATTTTCAACTGACAAGTGATACTAAATCAGTGTACTGCACTCTGTGCTGACTGTTACAAAACCTGAAAACAGACTTCATGAAATGATAAACAAGTGTCAGTTATGCAGCTCCTTAATTAATCCACTGACATGAACCTAACTTTATCTAATAACAAGTATTAATCCACTGACATGAACCTAACTTTATAGGTGTCAGGTCATGCTAATTGTTAGCTTAAAAGTTTGGGGAATTCCCAGGCTAATATGATGTCATCTTCTTAGCCAATCCAGGGACCTTTTGGTTAACAATCACTGTGGCTTACCTGAACACACTTTTCAATTACTTGTGCAATGTATTAGTTAAAATGTTGTCTGGCTAAAGTTGCAAAAATGCTGAAATCAATGGATGAAATCAACACGATATTTAAAGAACTAACTTTATAGGTGATTTATGTGTATATGTACTGTATGGTAGTTCAAGGTAATCTATTTTACACAATAAGCTTCCCTCTTAGATTGATGACAGTTAGGGCCTGTGGGTCACCAGTGGGAACAAGACAAGAAGGAGAGTAAAGAAAAGGTCCTGACCTCAGCAGCAGTTCCGGTCACGTAGTGGTTACTGGAGCCAGTTGAGGCGATCTCTATGCCCTGAAACAAAAACACATGCGTCATCATTTCACACACAAACACATGGTGCAGATTAGTAAACAACATTAACAGACAGGAGTCCAAACATTTCAGCAGACTCTACTTTGAGATTGGCTGTATTGATGATTCGGGATGTAATTAGCCATCGGCCTGCCTCGATGGATTATTCAGAATAGGAAAATGTATGTGTGTGTGAGTGTGATGAGGCCTGGGGGAAGCTTGATCACATAATCAATACAGGTCATATGACAAGGGAAACTTAAATCACTTAAATCGATGCTTACGCTGGTCAAACACAGAAGCATCCAGGATTGATTATATGTCTGTGACTGTGGCAGAATGTCCTTAAAATGTGTAGAATTGATGGAAACCCTCAGTTAATAAACTTGAAACAAACAGTAAGGTATGTAAAATATATTTTTAAAAAACTCACATTTATACAATGGCTAAGAATGGGTGTAAAAATACAGATATGTTTAAATTAAACTAGACATAGATTAAGGTTATCTAAAAGAATAGTAATAAAGTTTAGCTTAAAATATTACAAACACAGCTACAAGTTGACAAAAAATAGTTTAATGCTGCTACCGCAGAAATTGCTTGATTTCAGTCTTGCCTCATCTTCAACTTTCAGAAACCTCCCTTTAATCAACTGCTGCAACCCGCACGTGTACTTATAAATGAATTGATGAAAAGAAACACTAAAAATACATTTTCATCAATGCCACGTGTTATACAAGTGAAAACAAACAAGCCGAGCTTTTGTTGGCGTCTCAGCAGATGGACGTCTCTGGGTTTAAATTCCTGACAGAGAAAAAAATTCACTGAACAAAAAATATCTTCAGAAATGAAAAGTCAAAGGATTTGAAGCGGAGGTTCTTTGTTCTGCTGCACATCCTGTACGTACGGAAGACAAGGTCTTTATGAGGCTCGAGGTGACAGGAGGTAAATAAAAAAAAACGTTTTTAAAAGAGTAAAAAGTATAGTTTAGTGAGGAGCTGAAACCACATGAACGAAGTAAATCAGTGATGGAATAAACGGATGAAACATGGCACCTTGAAACATGTAATAATAATAATAACAAAAGTAAAGAGATAACTGATTTTTAACAAAAATGCGCACCCACAAATTTAGTCCAAATGTGTGCAAAACAAAAACAACACAAGCTATTTCCTCACCAGTTTTATTCAGGCTAGCTTATAGTAGCACCATAAAAGCCATTTTCCAAGATAGGATTACATGAAAGTTTTTATTTTAAATAGCTATACCTCCAGTGAGTTACAAACAAATAGAAGCAATAGAGCAAGTGTTTACCAGCTGATCACCAGGCGCTGCAGGTACGAGGTCCACACTCTCCAGCTGAGCCGTGTGGTTAAGAAGCACCTCGGTGCTGGAGTTCAGGATCTGATCGCACTCTGCCACTATGTGACAACACTGGTGATGGAAATAAACAAACAGTTGTCACCAAGAAGTTGGAAATCGCACATGAGACGAGCAGTGGAGAACATTATGGAGAATATGTCATCTGAATTGTCAGACATTATGATTGACACACACTTACTATAGTGATGATGTCCTTCTCCTTTTCATAAACAGTGTTATCCTGTAAAAAGAAAAAGTTTCAGATTCACAAAGCACAGTAGGCAACAAAACAACACAGTTGTAGTCAAAACTGCAGGTATTTGTGGTACAAGGGTATTCTTACTCATTCTAACCCTTTTTTTTTTATTTCCTCAACATGACTCCAAAAGCAAAAGCAAAAGCAACAGTTCCCGACCTTTAGTTTTAAAGCTGATACAAAACACTGCCCATGTTCAGAAACATCAATACACAGAACAGTGTTATATTAAATTAGTGCAGCAGTAGAGGAGCCACACATGGAACAGAGTTTAAGTCTCTGCGTCTTATCCCTGTTCTTAAACTAATCCTCTGCGGCACACATGCGCGGACACACACTTATCTAGAGAATGACGACACAGGTTTCCTGGTATCAAACACACAAATAGTCCAGGACAGAAAATCACAGTCACACTTGTACAGTCAGTTCAAAGGAAGTGGTTTATCTCTGCTCTCAGGGAGGAAAGCTTCGATTATGTGATTGCAGACACACGTTTCAACAGCGTGAAATTGTTAAAAACCTTCCGTTGTATGATTGTCCATGAAACCGTGTGGGGTTCTGGACGAGGCCGGAGTTACATAATGGAACCTGATGCCTGTGAAATACTGCAAGGGATCAGCAGTGAACTCAACGGTTGGATCTGCGGGCTAATTAAAGGCCGTGACACAACGCTGCTGCTGTGGCAGGGAGGGGAAAACATACACAAGTCTCTGTTAGCGATACGTCACGTCTGCTTAGCTTGGTTTTGGCGTGCTGCTATATTTTTTTTTTTATCATAGGCACATTTTTATTCTGAAGGCTAAGCTAACATTCAATGCAACCTTGCAAGAATGTCCAACGTCTGGGGCCATTTTGTTAATTTCCATTACTGACCTGCAATCCAAATTTGAGCTACGGAGCTATTATACCATTGTTTTAGCTTGTCTTTTTAAATTTGGGCAGCATTTCACCAAACTATGCCGAACTAAATAACTCATTTTTTTAATGTTAAGTCAAAGTTATCAATTGCTTCTGAGAAGTTTAAAAAATATTCCTTAGTTAGTAATAAAAAATGCTATCTATAAGAAAGTACATTTTGGAGGATGGATACTTCTTCTACTAGTCTAGAGGTCAAAAGAGTTGTGATATGTATTAAAAATATAGAGTATTTTTCCCCCTTAATTAATTTTTACAAGCATTTTGATTAACAGCCAAAAGAGCTAACACGCTGCGAGATACCTCCAAAAAACAGACAAATGAGTAGATCATTTTTTGGGCATAGATATACATTTTCTAAAAACATAAAACAAAATGAACCAACAGTTCAGCCTCAATAAATAAGTCCACAGCATTAAAAATAATTGTTAAACCTCCCACCCCCACAAATGTAGTCCAAATGTGTGCAAAACCAAAACAACTTTCTGATACAAATTAGTCTTTTGATGTTGACCAGAAAAACAAAGTAACCTGGTGACCTCACAGGTGGGCCCCGCCCAGGTCTTTGTGAAACACTGCTGTGGCTCATCAAAAGAAAAAGTCTAAGGTTGTGTTGTGGGGCTTTGTTGCGTTGTGTTTGTGAGTGTATTGGTCAGGTGTAGAGCTAGCTACTGTCGTCTAGGAGACAAAGACAATTACTGTATGTGGGCATTGCATCCTAGGAAAGAGGGGAGACACCGCGGATGTTACCATGCATGAACACACACATATATGTATACTAACGTACACAGACAAGAACTGAAACAGTGCAGCAACTCACGTGACCTCAGAAACATGTTCCTGGTGATAAAGCAGGCACGTAAACAGACTTTCTTCCTTTTTCTTTTAATCAACTCAATTCAAGATAAAAACCACACCAAATATTGAATCGTTGACCTTCTCCGTGAAGCCCTGTTGTGTTGTTGGTTTGTTTGCTTCAACCTAACTCCAAAACGAGTCACAGTTGCTATAAAAAGATTTGGAGACGCGTTAGGTCACCTGCTGCTTGTCTTACCGTCCAACAACGTCTTGATATTATTTTTCCTCCTCACATCCTTCCTTCTAGGTTCTAACCACAATAAAAGTCCCATTCATATTCTTTTTTCAGATATCACATGGCTGACGTGGTCACGTCTTTTGTGATTCTCTTTATCCTGTAAACCTAATCCAGTCATCTGACATTTAATATCTTTGAATCTATTGATAGGGTAGAAAATGTCATGTGCTGTGTTGTCGAAGCTGAATTTGTCAGGATAAAACTACTATTTATACAAATGCAGCAAAGAACAACCAAAGTATCGAGACATAGTTTGGCAAAATAATTTTGGAACTTTTTGGAAGCTATGATGGACAAAATGAAAGAAAAAAACCAGGCCAAACTTCCAGCCAAAGTTCCTTAAAAAAAATCATTGATAAGTTAGCCTAATAACAGCTAGTCATAGGGGCTAAAGGTTCTATAAGATGATGCTAAAAAAACTGTTGTTTCTATTCGGACCACATACCAGTCTCTTCTTACTTAGTTTAAAAATAAGCAAAGTAAGCAAGAACAGACACACATACCAAGCAGAACCCCTGGAGCAGACTTTGGACTTGTCTGTCCTAATATTTCTCCCGTCAAACAAAACTGTTGAATAACAACAATGCCAGTACCTGAGGTTAGGACTAGACCTGTCCCAGAAGGGTTAAACAGTATCTAGGTTAAACATTAAAATCTCCGCCGTACTTTCACCACGAGCGTGAGTTCTGTAAAGGTTATGAATCTGATCAGATTTTTTTTTTTTTTTTGGATAAGAAAAAGCTGTTGAAACTCAACGCATACTTTTGTGAGAAGCTATGGAACTCTGTGTGCTCCTGGCTACAAGGTACTGTTGAAACTCATCGCATACTTTTGTGAGAAGCTATGAAACTCTGTGTGCTCCTGGCTACAAGGTAAAAGTCCTGCTCTTTGACCCATGAACTGTTGGGCTTCTCTGAAATCCATCACTCAGTATTTGAGCCACACTGACGAAAAAAGTCTAAACAGAGTTCAGTTAATGAAAATGAAAATGTAACGTAAAATGAGCAACATAAGATTCTGCCTTTTAAACAACACCGTAACAGCTGTAAATATATGAGAAAATATTTAAGAGAATAAAGTCTAAAAAAAAGTTTAAAAAATAAAATATGATAATAAAAGAAAATAGTTGGAAATTCCTGAGAATATAATCAAAGCTATATGAGAATAAAGATGTAATATTACCAGAAAAATTGCATAATAAAATTGTAAGTTAGAGACAAAAAAGTGTAAATTTATTTAAAAAAAACCAAATGTATACTTTTTCAACAATACAGTCATAATGTTTGGAGATTAAAGTTGCAAGTTTGGAATGTTATGAGAAAAAGAGTTGCGTTAATTTTATAAAAACAAAGTCACCTCCTAACTGAGGCCGTAACACAAGGCGGAAATCTCACTCTTATTACTCTGAAAACATGACTGACTCCAGTGTAGACCTCACCAGCAGCAGCTGACTGCTGACACTGACTGCCCTCCAGCTGTCTGCACCAAAACAACACAGTCTCTCAGACACTGTCAGGAAATAAGAGGCTGATGTTGGATGTATGTGTGGATTATGGGAATGTTCTACTGCCTGGAAAAAGACAGGGTGAAGCGGCTACCGAACCTCCTGATGGTGGAGCTGTCACACAGCCCCCTGGTGGGTAGGCTACAGGGCTAATTTGACTGGAGTGTGAACCTCTTCATTTTTGTTCTCATTACATGTAGAGATGTTGACGTTAATGACGTAGTCAGTAAATCTGCAGTTCTGTACACGCTGTGTATAGACACAGTGTTCTTCTGCACAGCCTGCAGCTTAATAATGTCACGATGACAGTAAGGTAATTGACGTGTCAAAGGAATTCCCATTTTCTCTCAATACTACTGCTTAAAAACACTAACACCAGGGGCAGTGCCGGGAAAAACACACACTTTGTGGGCAATGCTTAGGTAGTCGTCTGCAGTATCCGTGTGTCTGCTGCATCACTACGTGGTATGACACTGAATAAGATCAGTTTGAAATGAGGGGAAGTCCGAAAAAGAAATGATCCCTTCTCACTGTTTCACTTCAAGAACCCAAGTCATTTTAACCTCCAACCACATCACAGGACCAGCCATCTTTAAATGTGGGGCAAATAGTGCAGTAACAAAATACCCAAGTGTCAAATATTCCTACACTGACACTGGATACTTTGAAATCTCCAATACTTAGCTCTGCATTTAAAATGTATTTATTTATTTTTGTATTTATACTATATACTATAAATGCCATTGATAAACTTAAAATGTACTTTAAAAAAATTCCGGTTAAAGACAAACGTCTATGAAATCGTTTTGGATTTTTTATTTATTGTTAATAGAACACAAGGTAAAAGAGCCACATTTTTAGCCTCATAACTAAAAGAAGTCCTGGACACCATGCACACTAAGCTGAACAAACATATGTTAAAAAGCCTAGTTTTCACTACTTCAAAAGGCAAACAATAGGTTAAAATAATCAATGAAATGTTTGTGAATAACATTTTGTTGGTGATTCTTTATAAAAATAAGAATTGCAACAAAAGCACAACTACAACAGCAAAGTTAGCCTTAGAATTGGGTCAACTCAAAAAGTAAAGTTAGCCAAAATTTTAGCTAAAATAATTGGCAACATTTAGCATAACATAGCAACATTTGAAAATATAATCCCCTTACTATTTATTTGTCTAATTTAAAAATTTGGATCTGGGTCCCAAGATTGGTCCCAATCCTACCTATTTCTTCTGTCAACATTTGCATACACAAAATTGAAACTACAGGTTTTGACCAAACAATGGTCAAACATTGTCAAACATTGTCAAACGATGACCTACCCCTCTGTAAATGTTCAACACCAAACAAAACAGTGAGACTTTCCACCGACGTGTCAACCACTCAGTGTTCTACTTCCATGTTGATGATTCAGATGAAGTCTAACCCACAAGGCAGTGATCGCAGCCACAACTTTGACTGACATCCACACTTCCTTCTACCCTTTGTCTCTGTGTTCCTTCGAACCCACCAGAGTAAGGTTACTGCCTTTAAACACCCAGACAGAAACTGACATCAACAGTACCGTAGGCCTGCAGTTGTCCCTGTCAATGGCAGGAGTTGTGAAACTGGAAACATGTGAAACTGCAAAATCTGGTTCAGGCCACTAAACCCACGTACGTCCTACAGTAGTTCAAAACCATTATGAGAACAGTTTAAACGTTAGAGTATGAAGCATCAGTTCTAAGAATATCCTGTTGGGGCAGTGTTGCCAGAAATCAAATGTTGAAGTTTCATACCAACAACCTTGAATTATTTTGAGTAATGTTATTGTACACAGCTAATTTCTCTGCTGACACATTATCATTGGCTGCGTGAATATGAAAGTTGCTAGTTGTTAGCATATCTACAGGGAGTGAGCCTATCATTATAAATGTTATGTCACCATGTGCTGTGGCGTTTGTTAATTAGCTGTGAAGAGGGAATGTGTCATGATGTTTGCAAAACAAGACTAGAGAATTTACAGCATGTACAGAATGTGCAGAATCCACATCCTGTTGTTTTTTTTTACGCCACATTGTGTGTGTATCTCAATGTTACAAATGCAACAAATTTGGCAATGGAGAGAGAGAGAGGTGCTAATTAATGTGTCACTATTGTTAATCTCATCTGGCAAAACGGTAAAAGAAGTGAATTAGTCTGAAAATGTTAAATTTCCCACAGCAAATACAGTATTAACTCTCGTCCTGTGAGTGGAGTGTAATGTTACACCGCTAACATTCACCAGTCAGAGACACAGAATCTGTACCTGTTGAGTAGGTCAACGATCCAAAGCTGGTTATATTTTAACATCCTCTAAATGTTGACATTGCAGCCTCCCATTGTCGCAGACTTTCTCCATTCAAACCCCGCTGTCGCTGCTATATCCTCGTTGTCGTCATGTTTATCTCTTCATATCACCAAACACACACTCAGTCTGTATTGCACTCCCTCTCTCTCTCTCTCTCTCTCTCTCTCTCTCTGCCTGTTGTTGTTCTCTGACTACTCACTCTCCCAGGAGTCAAAAGTCATTCAGAGCCACACTTGAGTCTCCTCCCTCTTTCTCTACCTCCCCTCACTCCCTCCCCTGAGTCCTCCCCCCTTTCCCCAGGGTGCAACAACATATCCAGACCTGTCTTTGGTGCTACCTGCTAAAGCGTCCTGTCTGCTTCACTTTTCGTCCACTTATAAAGAAAAAAACACACAAGAAAAACCCACTTCCGTCTTCTTTCAGCTAACGTAGTGTCTCATGATTCTCTGAGATTAAACACACACAAAATTCTTCTTCATCTTCTGACCGACTCCTAACTCCAAAGCCACTGCAACATTAGGCCGTGGTCAAAAATGCCAGGAATGCAAAGATGAAGAATGTTAATGCTGAGATGACACTGGAGAACAGGGAGTGTGTTTGTGCTTCTGTTCTAAGTCTTCCTTTTTATTAATCACCAGGACTTCATCCTACAGGTTCTAGTTCCTCTTCACATATGTGCTTTTTGTTACAGCTTCACCAGAAACGTGGCTGAATCACACCCACTTCCTGTTTAAGATAAAACACATCACCATTCCCTGAACACCAGCTTCACCTTTCACAGTAATGTGGCTTCAAAATCAAAAATGAATCAAATGAAACTGGCACCATAAGAAACTCTGTGTAACGTACACGGCTAATAGGGATTCGCTTATTTGCTAAAATTGATCGGCCCGCGAGTCAAAAAGTTTGCCCACACTGTGTAACGTACAGGGCTAATAGGGATTAGCTTATTTGCTAAAATTGAATATTTCTACTTTACTTTACTTTAATGCTTTATTGCTATTTTTGTTTTGTTTTGGTTACCTCCTAACCCAGCCGTGGGCAAACTGTGGCCCGGGGGCCACTTAGTTCACACAAACCACCAATTGTGGCCCCCAGTCAAAAAGTTTGCCCACGCCTATTCTAACCCGTTGCTAACTTTTTGCTAAAGTTAACGACTTCTATTGAGATGTAACAACCTTTTGGCTAACTTCTAGCTTTTTTGGTTACTGTTAAAGCTGCGTTGATGAGATTTACTTCTTCCTTTAAGTCTTTGCCAATCCAACATTCTGTGATTGTGTAGCTGAACACATTTCACTGAACCTGATGTGCGTAACAGAAACTTAGTGATTTAGTATTTGCAGCCTAAAATGTACCGACCTTGTGGACGATTTCTCCTAACTCTTTGCAGTAGTTGAAAATGTCCTTGGTGGTGACGTGTGCACTTAGCTGTGTAAGATGATACCTAGAATAAAACAGATTATATTTGCAATTAGTGTCAGAAAGATCAAGAGAGGAAAAAATAAACAAAATAAAAAATAAAGGGAAGGACAGTAAAGACATCATTCAACAGCGTTGATGTCTCTTCCCAAGGGTCAACACTGTAACAACAGGTCAGTGTGTATATCTAAACACAAGAGCGGACGACTTCAGCCCGCAGCCTTCACTTTTACATAAGAACCCACAGTGGCCCAAACAACAGCCAGAGCTACATTTCATTTTTAGAGCAGAGAATATTTATGTATATATTTTTAAACAATTGTTGCGTAACTGCCTCTTTACAGACCTGTTGAGCAGAAAGAAGAGTCCTTTGGCAGACGTGATGACTTCCACCACCACCTGCAGTATTCCAACAGGCAGTTTGGAGGCGCTGTGTCCATCGTACCTGTTGCTGCGCCAACGACCCTGGATGCCCATCTGCAGAGTGTGAGCGACGGCACGCAGCTTCTCCGTCAGTCCACGCAGGTTTTCTCCTCCGATACCATATGTCTACACAAACACGCACATATGAAAGCAGTTAGAAGAGCATTCCTCTGTGGACACACTGAGATAAGAAGTCAGTCTGTGATGGGTCAGGCTTTTCCACCCTCGTTCTCCTGTTCCCAAACACTTCACCAAGATCAAAGGCTTAGTGGGTCGTACTTTGTGTGTTTTTTCTTCGTCTGCCTCACTCAAGAGCTACTAACAATTTCTATGACATCTTATAGGAGGTGAGCTCCGTAGATGGATTATGTTTTCCTTGCTCGGTTTAAAAGGTTCAGTCTGAAGGTACCTTAGTCGCTTTTTTACTCAACAACGTAGACAAGAGGTTCTCAAGCTATGGTATGGGTATGGGTGGTGGTACTTGGGCTCCCTCTGGTGGTACATTGGTGGTAAGTCACAAATCTCTGAGTAAAATAATTTTATCTCAAAATATGCAGTTTTGGGTGGCGCTTTGGCCCAGAGGCAACGTCTCTGGCACTGGTGTGGACCCCCAGGGTTCACCTTCTGGGAAAGTTCGAATCCCGGTTAGGGCGGTTAATACCTTCCAGTGGACTCACCACCTGCAGGAAGGTTCAGGGGGGTTGGTACGGTGCAGTGTGATTTGGGTGGCGACTGCTGCCCCCACGACCCGGTAACGGATAAGCGGATGAAAATGGATGGATGGATGGATGGATGGATATGCAGTTTTGGAATATTTGGAAAAGAGCTTTAAAATGTGTCCACAGCACCACCTCAAGGGGGGTAAAGAGAGCTACATTTTGTCTTTACCAACACAAATTTTAAATTTAAAGTAATATATATATATTTATTTGCATTTTAATACGTAGGCCAAAAGTGTTAGCAAAACTAGCTATCTAGTGAAAACTAGTGATTAAGAGGACCATTTTGATTGTTATCTGATGTGTGTGTAACATGTGTTACTTTACAAATCTTGTTCTTCTGCTGAGCCTATAGCTGTGGGAATACAGCTGTGCAAATTGCAGGCCACAAAACTCAGAATAGAACACCCAGTATTTTGCCTCTACTCAAGCTGATTTCCGTGGTTGGTTTAATGTCACGACCCACTCATTGGCAGTGAAGTACCCTGCACTGATCGGGCTTTGTAGTTGCACCACGACCAGCCAGAACCATCCTCTGTCAATGAGGGGCCATGAGCGTTTCATCGCGTTTTCAATACCGTGGTTCTTTATTATGCAACCGTGTACTTGAACGTGTTTGTTCTGTTTTCATGTGAGAATCTGACTGAAGGTTCTTTATGAATAAACCCACTGTGTGTGTTTACACTTCAACCCGGACAGAGCGGATGAGAAGCAGATACATACAAGCACACAGTAGTCATGACTTAATTTTGAATGGTTTGTGTGTGTTTGTGTAATAAACAGCCTTAAGCCAGGATTTTACTACAGGACTTATCCACATTTACACAGTCTTTTATTGTATAATGCTGCTCATGGAGTACTGCAAACATCATTAAAGCACTGTTTGTAAAACAGTAGATACTAATTATTTGCAGGGCTGCAGGCAGGGGGCGCTGGAGCCAATCTCAGTCGTACATAGCCAAAGGTAGGGTGCACACTGGACAGTGTGCCAGTACAACACAGGGCCACGTTCTCTCATATGTGAATGTCAGTTTGAACGGTTGTTTGTCTATATCAGGCACGGGCAAACTAAGGCCCGGGGGCCGGATGTGGCCCGATCAGCTTTTTAATTTGGCCCTCCAAACTTATTATTAAATTATCATTATACTTTTGTTGAGGCTTTTGTACAGGCCTTTTGCCTGCAATACTCATGTTTCCTCAATGGATGGCGTAGAAAATGATAAAAGCATTTTAGCCTTTATGCATGACTTTTACATGTCATTTATCCCAGTTCACACGAACGCTCCATCTATCTGCTCCTGACTCGGCCCCCCCGTTCAATTTCAGGACAATTGTGGCCCACGGGTCAAAGGTTTGCCCCAGCCTGGTCTATATATACACATGTGGCCCTGCGGTGGACCGGTGAACAGTCCAGGCTGTACCCTGCCCTTGACCATTGACAGCTGGGATTAGCTGATGCCCCAACCCCTCAAGACGAATAAGCCTTAAATAATGGATAGATAGCTCTCAATTAAAAAGTGACATTTTTCACCGCAATAAGTGTAGTAACACAGAGTAAATTCACTTCATCTTTATAGGAACATGTGAAAATCATATGAGACAGATGATATTTAAATAACTGGTCATTAAGGTGGTCGCTTTAGTAGATGTACAGTAAATGACATTTAATTAAACTGTAACTTGCCCATTTATTCGTTGCTAAAGCTGAGCTTCACCTCTGAATCGTAGTTGTTTCACTAAGAAGTCACTTCTTAGTGACATCACAGCTTTCCTCAGCCTGTTTTTTTTTAAACCTGAGATTAATTACTGCCAGCAGGGGCCAGCGTGGAAACAAATTAACACCCCCACACTTCAATGTCTCTCCTTAAACTCCCTCTCGGAAACTGGACAAGGAGGAAGATTTAATTAGGGGACGGCAAACAGGATGGGGAAAAAAAATCACAGATCACAGCAGTGGTGTATTTATTGCACTCGGCTGTAGACTTTGCATGGTAACTGTGCTGATTTGGTTGCAGCAGAAGCACATTCACACCATCATCTCCTTGATAAACAGGAACCTTATCACTAAGATAAGATTACAGAAACATTTTAATATGAACATACAAGCCGAATAAAGACAGTGGACCCAAGAGTTGTTAATTTTGCTGCAGTCTAAGTAGGATTTGTACAGGACTGGCTGCAGCTGCTGTATGTTCTGGTTCTGTCTAGAATCACTGTTTGTGTACAAGTGTCCGACTGTGAAGTGACAGAGTCACAACGTCATGACTGAGAGTAAACATCATGGATGAGACTGTGAAGTCTGACACTGTGAAGTCAACTTCATGACTGAGAGTAAACATCATGGATGTTCTCACACACAGACTCACCAAAGAGCAGAGTTTCTCCACTGCTTCCAGAATGAGCTCCTGGTGCCCGATCTTGTGAACTCCCAACTTTTCCAGGTCCCTGGAGGTCAACTGGAGCAAATCCAGACCTGACAAGTTCCACTCAGAGACTGAATACTGATGCAGGGGAACATCCAGACCTTCACAAGCAGAAAAAAATACTGTACAATAAGCTAAAATGGCTACAGACATCCATAGATGTTATATTATTATAGCAGTTATTAGCAGTTTTCACTAGTAGCATACGAAGAGTAGTACTAGTTTACGGTATTACCTTTTTCACTAGTATCGTTAGTAATTAGTAATGGTCTTATTACAATGTTTGTAGCAGAATTATTATTAGTAGTAGAAGTTAAAAAAATTACTGTAAAAATAATAATAATAATAATAGTAATGACTAAATCAAAATACATGGCTAATGTGTTATTCTATAGTGTTTTTCCCAAACCTGCTTTTCCGATTGTGATTTTGTTGTTGTTGTGTAGGTATGGCTGTAGTTATGACTGTTATTATTTATAGCAGTAATAAATATAGATACTTCGTAGCACTTGCAGTCGTAACAGTATTTTCAGTAGTTGTAGTTGTAGTATTTCTACTTGAATGTAGTTGCAGTTCTACAGCACCGCCAGTAGTAGGTCTGCTTTTACTACACTTTATCAGCTCCATTACAGGTAGTCATAGAAGTTGAATACATTTTAATATTAAAAAACGATTGAGCTCAATTATAAAATCATTACATACCACACATGGTACTCCAACATTGTGTGCCACGAGTAGAGTATTATTTATTATAATAGCAGCATTAGTATAGATGTCATTGTTACAGTACAGGTTACGGCATAGCAGTTAACGTGACAGCCATATATAGGTAATTCTAGTAGTAGTAGTATTCACTGATGAAATATTGTGAAGCAGCGGTGTCGTTATCTTTCATCACTCGAGTACATTTTGGAGTTGTAGTAAAAGTAGTAGCAGCAGCAGTAGAGCACATTAGTAGTTATTGCGTACTGCGAAGCGTACGTAAATAAGAGCAAAGTAACATTACGGTCCAAAGGTTTAACAGCACTTTATTGCAGTTCAGTAGTTTATACTGTTGTTGTTTCAATCTCTCTCTCTCTCTCTCTCTCCCTCTCTCTCTCTCTCTCTTTCTCTCTCTCACTTCCTCATTCCACCTCTACCTTTCACTTCCACTAGGATTTGTGTTTGCGTCTCTTTACCTCACTTTACCGTCCGGGCCAGAGTACAGAACACACAGTACTACAGGTATATCAAAGCCTCGCGTTCTGTAAATGTCCCTCACCTTGTAGCCACTCACTGACTCTCTCCTCGCTCCAGGTCGTTATAGGCTCCATACTCGGAGACCTGCTGCCACCGTTCGCTTCACCTTCCCGCCGTCCTGGCGTATGTCGGCTGCTCCAGGCTGAAGCTGCAGCAGCAGAAGTCAGATAATCTAATAATAATCTGATCAGAAGCAGGACGCTGACGAGGGACACTCCTTTGTCAGGTAAAGGTAGACGAATCTGTCAGACCACTCCTGCTCAGTCCTTCCTCCACACCCACCTCCTTCTCCTCGGCTCCTGCACAACACCTGAGGGAAAAGTTTATAGGCATACAAGATGCCAAAGTGTGGGTGGCGGCCTTCTAGCGGGGCCTTTGGGTATTGCAACTGGGTCCATATGAAACGATCTTTTTTAAAAGTTCTGAGCTATTTGTTTTTTTTTAACTTTTTTACATTCTTCTTTATTGGCATTTTAAGCTGACATTTGACTAGTTCTGGCTAACATTTGTAAACTTCAGACAATTTTGAGTTTTTTTTTTATGCCAAATGTTGCACTGATTAACTGTTAGCTCCCCCAATAGAAGAGAAATAAAAATCAGCTTTCTTTTTCATTGTACGAAATACAGATAATAGTACAGATACATTTACACACAATGGAAATGATCTGCATTTGACCCAGAATTTTTAGTGCTTGTTCAGTGCTTGTTATCTTCCAGCCATTTGATACCTATCTTTAGGTAACTATCTCAGCAAACCATCATGATTGGTTTGTGTCTGTTTTAACATATTATATATATAATATATTAACATTTCCACGTGTTTTGCGAAATAAAATATATTACACACTAGACTAATTTATTTTTTATTTAAAAAGAAATCCATCAAATGTCAGCCATTTTTATTTCAAATAAGTGTAGTACATAATCAAGCTAAAATCCTCACTCCACCTCTAGGGGTCACTGATCCCCTGATGTAGATGTGAAGTATGGTTTTATAAAAAGAGATTTTGAAAACACTAACTGCTCATTTCCACCCACCCCTCCCCCCACTAACACACACACACAACAATTCGCAACCATTTATTGAGAATCATATCTGGTCCTTGTTGGCTGCGCCCTCATTAGAAGAATATTAGAAATCATTTGCACTTTTTTCCGCTGAACAGCTTTTTAAATTTCCAGCAAAAGAAAACACATTAACAACATTAATATTTGATTAAATATCATTAAAGTTCATATGAAAACATCTCATCCTTCTGATTTACCAATTATTATCTCACGTGTGTGCTGCTGGAAGTATTTGGTCATGAATATTTGATCAATATTGATAAAATCATAAAGACTTGACTCCAATGGAAGAATTAGGAATCACACTAATGTTCATGTGATATCGTTATATAGTGTCTTTCTCACTGATTGTAAAATGTATCTTGGAGTTTCTTTCAGTTTTAAACTACTACTGTAGTTTCAATAGTTATTTTTCTGTGAATAAAAGGTTCATTTCGTTGTCATGAGTTCCACAGGGGGATAATTGTTCTCTCCTCACCTTACACAGATTGTCTTTGAATGTTTCCCCAGAAGTAAAGGTCAGTGTCTGATGAAAAGGTTGGAGCGATGAAAAGCACTGCCCCCTTCTGACACCACCTGCTGTTATTCCCTCTTTCAACCAGGAGAGTGGAAAAAGTCAGATTTCTGTGTCAGCAGGTGAAATGGCACCGGCACCGTCTCCACACGCACGTGGTTCCTGTGTTTGATGCCAGGGTCTTCAAATATTAAACTAAAAAATCTGTCCAGGTATAGACAGAAGTTGGAATATTATTATTATCCAGGCTGTTTGATCTGAGACAGATTAAAAGAAAATTTAAATTCATTTTTAAATCATATAACATAAGTTAGAACATGAACATGATCAATATTTTAATAGTAAAAAACCTATAGCACATGTGTCAAACTCAAGGCCTGGGGGCCACATGGGTCCGCCAAGTCATTTTGTATGGCCCGTGGCACTTTAAAAAGCATTTAATGAAGTCCATGCAGCAGAGTTTTTTAACCTGATAAATAAAGAGTTTTTTACATTACACAGCAATGAACAATATCTGTGGCTAGAATAAATAATAATCAATTGCAGAAACATGAACAACAAAGATGAGCTAAAACAACATTTAAAACCATCTTAGCTTAAAAGTTGGCATCATTTGCCAAGAAGAAGCTCAATCCTAAAGCAAACAATTTTTCTAAACAGAACAGAACATTAGCATCAACTAAATTATCGCCAAAGTTACTTTAAAATTAGATAAAAAAAAGATAAACAAGTTATAGTGTAGTAACAGCAAACCTTTTTCAACAATGGCTGCAAGTTCTGGGAAAATTGCTTAAAGATAGTAAATAGCTTTAAATAAGAAGAATTATATATATGTAATGTAATTGTTAGCCAGGACTTGCCTGGAAGTTGCCTCAGAATGATCCAAATAAATCTAAATATTAGCTAAATCAGTTTTATACAACACTGCACTCATAAAATGCCACATGAAGTTTTGCCATGTCTACATGGTTTTCCATGGAGTTACTGCAACTTGTTTTGTTTTTTTTGATCCAAATAAATCTAAATATTAGCTAAATCAGTTTTGAGTTACTGCAACTTGTTTTGTTTTTTTTCTCCTGAACTTGATCTTATACTCTGATTTCTTGCCTTTCAGCCCAACCCAAATACCAGAGACACAAAGTCAGGCCTCAACATGCTGTTTTCTTTGACAGTGCAACCATTACTCCAGTCCTGTCTGCAGCACTATAGACGTATATGACTGAGACTAACAAGATTACACGTGCTTTCCATTCCTCTCGAAATTCAGTTTTCCTATCTTTTCCCCCTCCTTTCTTGATGACTGCACTGAAGGTTTGGAATACAATAAGGCTTCTTGTTCTTCATCTCCGAATTTTGAACGCTGCAATTTCATTATTCACCGTCACTGAGCACAGACCGGATGTTGGTTCCTGCTCATCTACTGGAGAAGCTAATTAATCAGTCGGTGTTGATGTTCGTGCTGTGTTAAAGGCATGTGCTCCTTCATGTGCTCAGTGCAGGGCAGGAGCTCTTATGCAACACATTTACTCTAACAGCCTGACACACGTTACAATCCATTATCCAGAGTAGCACGTTGCCAGTCGTAGCGCCGCCTGTTTATCCTGTATTTATTTATATTTGATTAACTGCCAGAAACCGCGCTCTTCTAAAGAGGCTCACTTTCTAATGACTGTGTTACATCAACTAATGAATCCCTTGGATTACATGCACATTTGATGTGACGCAAACTTCGTTGTTTTTTTTGTTTGTTTTTTTCAGGCCCCATCTTATGTTTTATTCAGCTGATGAAGCAAACTGACGGAAACCCAGATGTTGATGCAGTAAGTTCAGTTGGCAAAAATTAAGTTAAATTAAAATTAAAATAAAATAAAATGAACCTGGTTATAAGATCAGTTAAAAGAAATCTGGATTTATAAAAATATATTTAAAAACAAGTGCTCAATTTTAAGCTAAAAACACATTCAACATAATTATAGAAAAAAAATCAATTGGCACAAACTTTGTAAATATGTAAACAATGAATTAAAAGGTAATTAAAATGTAGCAAAAGAAGAAACAAAGCAAAGCAAAGCAGAAGAATTGTTACGTAGGTAAAAGTTAAATTCATCCAAGATGCAGAAGAATTGGTACGTAAGATAGGTAAAAGTTAAATTCATCCAAGATGTATAATTTATATTATAGTTTTATTTACCAATATATAGCAGAGGAAGTAAAAGTTTACTTCATTTACAGTAAGTAGATGGTCATTTCTAGAAAAGGAGAGACGTCATGGTCCATGACTGGTCCATGACTGATACCTCACTACTGCCCCCTGTCTTCACCTATAAAAATGCATTCTATAGGTTTAAAGTGATTGTACGTAATAATAAGTGTACTGAATAATAATAATGTTAATGTTACATTTTAAGGGAAAAGCAACAGGTAAGAGACTGCCATACAGATAGTAAGCATACAAATGGGAAAATACAGTAGCTGCACACATAAACAAAGTCGTTTTAGTCTTATTTCAAATAATAATAATAAAAAAGAATTATAAAGATCCCATCTGACAAAACTGTAAAATTCTAAGAAATATTTTCAGGTTTTAAATTGAAATTCCATGAGAACACCTAATGGTTCTATGTGATGTTTAGATGAGATGGAACTGAGGGGCATAAATCTTTGTGATCCAGCCCAGACATAAGCTGAGGTTGAACAGCAGATTCATCTCAGCCCGTCTACTGTCTGGACACTAAATCTCCTCTAATCTATTTTGTCACAGCGCGGATCAAATATCTGCCTGACGGACTTCATTTGGCATCCACGAGAGAACAGGTCAGGGTGAGTCCCCCATACATGTGTACGTAAAGTCAGACTGACTCATATTTCCCATGATGCTTCAGTTTGTAGCCAGTGGAGGTGGGGGTGGGGGGGGTATCCCTGGACGCTCAGTCAGTTGATGGGAGACACCTCTGAGTCATCCCTGTCATCTGTGCTGTCACTGCGACTCCATGAATAGAAAAGGAGAATCCCTGCGGTCACAACAACAACATGTCACACCAAAAAACTATATATCATTTATTTATAAACATATCAAAATATATATTGATATGTATGAATGTATATATATACAGTATATATATATAAACATCTGTGTTATTATGTCATCATCTAATAATTCATAAAACATATATTACGTCATCATCTAATAATTCATAAAACATATTTCTAAATGTGATAATATACTACTTAAAGGTAAAGTATGCTGGAATTTTCCTAAAATAAAGACTTGGATTTGTAAAAAAGTCAAATTTAAATCAGAGCTAATGTTTAATTATCAGTTGATTAATTTTCAGTCATTTCCTGCTGCCTTTTTCTTAATATTTTGCTAACTGTAACTAGTCATAAAATCATTTTGTCATTAAGGCATTGTTTTATTTTTTATTTTAAGTTGCAAAAATGAAGGAACCCCCCCGCGACCCCTCCCCCCCCCACACACACACACACACCAGGATTGTACTGTGGCGTATTCATGTGCAGTTCGTTTGCCCTCTACCTGCTTTATCTCCTTTATAACTTTTTGCAAAAGTAATTTCTGATTGTAAAACTTTATCTGTGAAAGACACGCCCAGTAGGTGGCAGTAAAGCCACTCGATGTCAACTGCAGTTACAGTAGATACTACAAAAACTGGAAAAGGGAGAAAAAACACTTTTGTTGTTTTGAACCTGTCCACAAAGTTTAACATTTAAAGCCATATATTTGTAGCACCCCCTGCAGGGGATGGAGAGAGGAACTTTCACAAACACTAACATAAAACTTTGGATTCGAGATCTTCACTTCACCAAATAT